ATTTGTCCCAGACCGTTGTTATTTTAGTTCCTGTTAACGGTACCATCGGGATTATAACTCTTTGCTGACTGCTGAAGATGAGGACATAGCACATATGGTAATGCCCCAAGTGCTGTGATGTCAGTTGTTCCTACTACTTCAGTCAGCTGAGACCTTTAACTCAGAATCTACCTTTCACCAATTTTAAACTTACAAGTTCCTAGGAGAGAGACACTTGAAATTACTCAAGTGCTGACAAATCAGGGTACAGATGATGTCATTTCTTGGGACTGGTCAAGTCCTGGTGATAAGCAGTGCAAATGTCACAGCCATTCAAAGTGCTCAGTATATAAGCTGACCAGTCCAACAATTCAAGTTAGTAAAAGCTGACCAGTCCAACAATTCACATTAGTAAAAGCTGACCAGTCCAACAACAAACTAGTTACTGCTGACCAGTCCAACATTAGCTAGTCAAGACTGACCAGTCAAATAGCTAGTCAGGACTGACCAGTCCAACATTAGATAGTCAGGACTGACCAGTCCAACATTAGATAGTCAGGACTGACCAGTCCAACATTAGATAGTCAGGACTGACCAGTCCAACATTAGATAGTCAGTGCTGCCCATTCAAACATTAGCTAGTCAGGGCTGACCATTCAAACATTAGCTAGTCAGGCTGTCCAGTCCAACATTAGCTAGTCAAGGCTGACGAGTCCAACATTAGCTAGTCAAGGCTGACCATTCAAACATTAGCTAGTCAAGGCTGACCAGTCCAACATTAGCTAGTCAAGGCTGACGAGTCCAACATTAGCTAGTAAAGACTGAACAGTGCAAATCGACAAAGCTGGTCAGTTGAACAAATAAACATAATCAATGATGAACAAGTCAACAATTTAATCTAGTCAATGCTAAACAGTCTAACAACCTAAGGTAGTTCAAGCTAACCAGTCAAACAACTTAAGGTAGTCCAAACTGACCAGTACTGTTACCAAAGTCAGTCCAAAATGACCAGCAACCACTTAATCTTTTTAATTCCAGTATATTTAAAAACTCTTATGTTAGTATAAACTGACTAGTCCAACAACAACACCAGCTAGTCAAAACTGACCGATTTAAGCTAGCTGGCCTGACTAACCAGCACAGCAGTCTTAACTAGCCATCACTGACCACAGAAACCACCCTAAGCTGACCAAAATGTGACCAGTGCAAGTTTTCACCAGCCACAGCTGACCAGTCCAACAACTTAAGTCAGAAGCTACCAGTACAAATGCTAAAAACTAAACTCAATCAATAGCCCAAGTCAGTCTAGTATTACTGTTTTAAAAAACAGAAGGGGAACACCTTCGGCCACAGAAACAGTGCAATAAATAAAACTGACATGAATCAATCTGTTCCTACAGCGAGGTGCAGACTCACTTGGAGGTAACAGGCTCGAATGCTAATATAACTATTACTGTCTTTTGATAGTAGCTTTTGACATTTATGTTGTCTAGTGTGTTCGCCTATCGCTCTACTTCTGTCTGTGAGTGCCAATCAAGACACGTCAGTCTATTTATTATGGTGTTACTGTAAGCTGCCTTCTTACAGGTCCCTAGTTAATTGATGCTTCCACATAAAACTTTACAAGGGAAGATGAAATGGAAAAAAAAAATTGTTAATCACTAGTAATATGAGTTTTACAGCTCTTTGACCGTGTGAATTATCAAAGTCAGTAGTTGTGTGAATATTCAAGTCAGTAGTCACTGCATGTATTTCGAAGTCAGTAGTCACTGTGTGAATTACTGCATCATAATCATGTGTTACTTTTTTGGGTTATGATCCTTATTTGAAAACCATATGACTTCACATCGTATACACACATGTGGTAATTAACAACACCAACCGTGCTGGAGTGCATGAATTGTCTGAAAGCTTGATATAATGTTGGATAGGAAACAACATACCATAGACGTTTACACCAGTTTCAGGACTTTGATTCTCTTAATGTGTTGTAGTCATTGCATGCTTTATTTCAAATGCATTAATGTTACCTTTCATTAAATCCCTTCATTAACAACAACTTGACAGCTGCATCTAACAGCCAAATATTATTTCTTCTAGAAAGTACCACTTGCCGTCCACATCTAAAAGCCAAATGTAAATTTTTCTACAATGGACAATATGTCATCTGAATCTAAACCTACATCAAAAGAGAAATTTTTTATGAAATAACTTACAGCCATACATAATCCTTCTATGAAGTGCAATCTGGCATATGAGTATTATGTCAAATACTACCAGCTAAATGTAGCATAAACTTTGGCGTACAAGTCCACTTTTTAACACATTATTATTGTAGCAAGCAATACAATAAACATTCATTGTTGAATGAGAGAGACATACTGACAGAAAGAGAGAGAGAGAGAGAGAGAGAGAGAGAGAGAGAGAGAGAGAGAGAGAGAGAGAGAGAGAGAGAGAGAGAGAGAGAGAGAGAGAGAGAGAGAGAGAGAGAGAGAGAGAGAGAGAGAGAAAGAGAGAGAGAAAGAGAGAGAGAGAGAGAGAAAGAGAGAGAGAGAGAGAAAGAGAGAGAGAGAGAAAGAGAGAGAGACAGAGAGAGAGAGAAAGAGAGAGAGAGAGACAGAGACAGAGAGAGAGAGAGGCTGCATGCTACACAACCCATCTAGAAATAAATTATGGTTAGCACCTGAATATACAGGTAAGTGGTGCGACCTTGCCTAGTTTTGGGACAGGTTATCAGATACTGTAGCCTAACATTATTTATCCTTGTCCCCCTGTGGGTTCTGGGGTCCAACTGTGGGTTCTGGGGTCCTACTGTGGGTAAAACAAGAAGAGACCCACTGCTTCCTCTGGAGCGCATCTGCATGAGAGGTGAGGAACCAACACTGTGCAAACAAAAAAGTCAGACATGTAAAATGGATGTGCACACAACACTCCAGATCTGGAACAAGACTAAAATCCAGAAGTGGATGAACAACCAGAATTTTCTACCAGAGTTTACAGCTGTGAACCAAGACCAGTCAAGTGGAACACCTTGTACAGAGGAAGGGAACAGCTTGTGAAAACATGCACATTCCACTATATGGCACTGGGCCAAAGGGCGAAAGCTCATGCGCCGCTGGATCGATAACAACAACAGCTGTGAACATTAAAAAAGAAAGAAGAGATTTATTAGTAAGCCTAAGTTTTTGGGCCACTGATAAGCTACCACATATATTCTTGGGGCTTGTTTAACAAGGAAGACACAGGTCCAACTTATTTTTTGATACAAATCTTGAGGTCAATTTGTACCCCAGGTCAACTTGTACGCAGCAATTTATGGTATATTTGTCACATGCATGTTACAGTCAAGTAGGTATTTCCTGTTGCAGAGTACAGCCGAGCAGATACTTGCCAATTTAATTTCAAAGCCAAATACATACTTACTACAGTAAAACGTTGTTAACGCAAATTCTGAAAAATCAGAAATTCCTGTTTAAAAAAATGTGCCGACCACAGAATAGATGTATTACAATTGAATCCCCACTGGAACCAAAATGTGGTTCATGTTAAACAAGTGTTCATCTGAAGTGAGTTCATACTGACAAGGTTTTACTGTATTTCTAGTATGCTGGCCAATTGTACAACATCCAAGCACTGACATTTTTTTTGGCTGTTCATGGGAATTCTACAACATGCACTGGTTTGAATTCTAGCTTTAGCTTTGTTTTAGAACAGCGGTTCTCAACCTGTGGGTTATGACCCTTTTGGAGGTTGAACGACCCTTTGACAAGGGTCATCCAAGACCATCAGAAAACGCATATTCATTGAAGTTTTGAAGCAGCAACAGAAATAATTTGATGGTTGGGGGTCACCATGACACGATGGACTCTACTGAAGGGTCGCATCATTGAGAACCACTGTTTTAAAAGAAAAGCACAACACAACTCTCAGAAAAAAAAAAAAAAAAATAACAGAAATAAATTATTCCACCATAAGCGTGAGGCTTCAGATGGGGTGAAAAAAAAAGAGGAAATGAGCCTATTTGAAAACAAACACCTCATTTAGAAAGGTAGAGCACTTTTAATCTGTCAACTTATAAAGAACTCAAAAACATGATTTCAAACTGGTTAATTTATAACTTATTAATCGCTATCGGAAATGGACTGGACTCCTACTGTTATCTCATACTCCCGAATTATATGACAGTCCAGCTTTCAAGATGGAGAGACCAACCTTCAACTGGATTGTCCACAATTTACACATATATGTGAGAGAAAAGAGTAGACAGGAGGTCCAAGTTTTCAAGTAAAGCCATCTCATTAGCATCAGAAGCGGACTCAACTCTTACTTTATCTCATACCGCATGAAATATATGACAGTCTCGCTTTCAAGACGGAGAGGCCTACGCTCAACTGGACTGTCCACAATAAACAGGAGAGAAAAAAGCAGACAAGGTCCAAGCTTTTATGTAGGACCTTTAATTATTTAAAAAAAAAAAAAAAAAAACGCTTAACTCAGAAAAGTATTAACAAAGATGACAAGAAATGGTCGAGTTTGGTATCTTCAAGAAACATCCCTGAAGCCACTCTTGTTTTGGGGGTCTATCAGAAAGACCCAGAGTGATGCTGCTTCAGTGTTACCACTGCCTGGTGGGAGTCTTTCACATTTTTCTTAATTAGTCTCAAAATATCACTTTAAGTTATTTCAACATTTTTGGGGTTTGTTTTCTCTTTGGTTTTTTTTCCCCCCAGTCTGATATAGTGGTAATTACAGTCAGGGGTAGTGTCCCCTACAGACAAGGCCTGACCCTGGCGAAAAGCCGACACGGTGCAAGCTCTCATGTTACCACGTCACATTTCCAATAATATCTCCCTTGACAGCCAACTGCTGGCCCCCATAAACACATATAGAATATGCATGGGAAGGGGATTATGTGCCCTTTCTGTCTGCAGCTGGTGGATTCAGGATGATTTCCCTTGAAATCCACTGATGATAAGACTTCTGCATCGCGTCTGCCAATTGCTGGCAAGGTTTTGTGGCTCTCATACCCAGGGGGTCCATCCTTCATAGAGTACGGCCAAGTTGTCAGGGTTCTTGGCCTCCTTGATGACGTAGTCGACCTGAAACATGACCAAAAAAACGTGCAAAGTTACCTACTGCAAAAGTTGGCCACAATAAAGAGAAACTAGGATACACATAAATACGTCAACAGTAAATTACAGCGAAACTAAAAATACAGCTAAGGTTAACTAGGGTAAAGTTAAACTAGGCTAAAAAAATAAATATGTCAAAAGTAAAATACAGTAACAGTAAAAATACAGCAAAGCTGACACCAGGCAACAAGTAAACACGTCAAAGGTTAAATATGGTGAAAGTGCAAATATGGTGCAGGGAAAGATAGAGCAAAAGTCAACTATAGAAAGTTAGACTCGGCTACATGTAAGTCAAAAGTCAAATATGGTGAAAGTGCAAATATGGTGCTGGTAAAGACAGAGCAAAAGTCAACTATAGAAAGTTAGACTTGGCTACATGTAAGTCAAAAGTCAAATATGGTGGAAGTGCAAATATGGTGCAGGTAAAGATAGAGCAAAAGTCAACTACAGAAAGTTAGACTCGGCTACATGTAAGTCAAAAGTCAAATATGGTGCAGGGAAAGATACAGCAAAAGTCAACTATAGAAAGTTAGACTCGGCTACATGTAAGTCAAAAGTCAAATATGGTGCAGGGAAAGATATAGCAAAAGTCAACCATAGAAAGTTAGACTCGGCTACATGTAAGTCAAAAGTCAAATATGGTGAAAGTGCAAATATGGTGCCGGTAAAGACAGAGCAAAAGTCAACTATAGAAAGTTAGACTCGACTACATGTAAGTCAAATATGGTGGAAGTGCAAATATGGTGCAGGTAAAGATAGAGCAAAAGTCAACTACAGAAAGTTAGACTTGGCTACACGTAAGTCAAAAGTCAAATATGGTGCAGGTAAAGATAAAGCAAAAGCCAACTATAGAAAGTTAGACTCGGCTACATGTAAGTCAAAAGTCAAATATGGTGCAGGGAAAGATACAGCAAAAGTCAACTATAGAAAGTTAGACTCGGCTACATGTAAGTCAAATATGGTGCAGGGAAAGATAGAGCAAAAGTCAATTATAGAAAGTTAGACTCGGCTACATGTAAGTCAAAAGTCAAATATGGTGAAAGTCCAAATATGGTGCCGGTAAAGACAGAGCAAAAGTCAAACATAGAAAGTTAGACTCGGCTACACGTATATCAAAAGTCAAATACGGTGAAAGTGCAAATATGGTGAAAGTAAAGACAGAGCAAAAGGGAGACTAAGTTGAAGATATTTCAATGTAAAATGAAATGATAAGAAATGTAAAATGAAATTACAAGAAATGTAAATTTAGGTAAAGACAAACAATAATGACAATGGTACAATATGGTAAGGTTACAAAAAAAAATGAAAAAAAAAACAACAATGGAAAACTCATAGATAAACTATGGTACGAAAGTAAAGGACTGTTTTTCTGCCATATGTACATGGCTATATGGTGCCAGACGTATATTTTTATGGACCAATTTGCTAATTAGACGGGTGATGTGGGTCAACATCAGGGATAAAATTATGGTAAAGGTGAAAATAAAATTAAGGTAGCCTAAAGCAAATTATGCAAAAGGTAAACTATGATAAAGGCATTAAACCCTGGGAACTGACAACTAAGCTTTGGGGAAACCTAAGAGACCTTGAAAAGACATCCCAGTTTATGACCCACAGTGGATAATGCGCATGACCAGAGATCGCTGAAGAAGAAGAAGAAACCCTGAGAAAGAGGAAGGCAGACCTGAGTAAACCCTGGGAAAGAGGAAGGCAGACCTGAGTAAACCTTGAAAAAGAGGAAGGTAGACCCAGGTAAACCTTGAGAAAGAGGAAGGTAGACCCAGGTAAACCATGAGAAAGAGGAAGGTAGACCCAGGTAAACCGTGAGAAAGAGGAAGGTAGACCCAGGTAAACCGTGAGAAAGAGGAAGGTAGACCCAGGTAAACCTTGAGAAAGAGGAAAGGTAGACCCAGGTAAACCTTGAGAAAGAGGAAAGGTAGACCCAGGTAAACCTTGAGAAAGAGGAAGGTAGACCCAGGTAAACCTTGAGAAAGAGGAAGGTAGACCCAGGTAAACTTCAGGAATAATAAAGGTAGACCCAAGTAAATCTTGGGAAAGAGGAGGGCAGACCCAAGTAAACCTTATGAAATATGATGGTAGACCCAAGTAAACCTTGGGAAAGAGGAAGGTAGACTCAAGCAAACCTTGGAAAAGAGGAAGGCAGACACAAGTAGACCTAGGAAAAGAGGAAGGCAGACCCAAGTAAACCTTGGGAAAGAGGAAGGTAGACTCAAGCAAACCTTGGAAAAGAGGAAGAGCAGACCCAAGTAAAGGCCTTGGGAAAGAGGAAGGTAGACCCAAGTAGGCCTTGGATGAAGGTAAGGCCAGCCAATCAGGAAGTACAACCGGTAAGGCTAACCTAGTCAACAACTGCCTGCAGAAGTTGGATGTGTCAACCGAAAGGCACAAATATTACAGGCACACTGTAAACAAGCACAATACAATTACATGTTTAAACGAATGCAGAAGAAGAAGTAAGTAGTATCAGAAACTGGCTAGTGTTGATAAACAGTATGATTCTGAAACCATAAGTTACCTGCTCGGCCACATTCATCCTTTTGTTTGGGTCAGGATCCCTTCCTTCCAGCTTCATCTTGACCCTCCGCCACACACCCACAGCGTAGGAGTTGCGTTCTTGGACAGCTGACAAACATGAGGGACAACAAGTCAATATATTTGTCTCTTCATAACTGATTTATGCAGAATTTGCAAAAAAAATTGTATTTCTTTACATGTCATTGCAGTTCTGAATAAAACAATTTCATCTGCAAAATCAAAAACTTCTAACTGTATGTTCTCATCCTGTCGATGCCAGCATTTCCTGGAAAACATGTTCCCATCACCTCATAAATAGTTATACCATATAGAAGGGGAGATAAAATAAGACCGTTTCACTCCAGTTTCAACTGCAAACCAGTCACATAAGCCATCATTTGCTCACAATGAAAACTTATATTCAGTAGTGCACCAAAACATACCCAGATACTCCAATATGATGTTCTGTGTTCAGCTATCAAAAGCTTTCTTACAGTAGATGAAGTTCAAAATAGATTATACCTATACACATGTGGTTGAGTTTCCTTCCAAAGGTTTAGAAAAGGGAGATTTTAGACATGAAAATATTTAGAACTTAGCCAACATATTACATCAACAGAATATTTAAACAACAGAATATTTACTAACCTTTTCCAGTTTTTGGATCTCTGGAAACTTTGTCCTTTTTAGCTGTGTTCGGAAGGACAAGAAGAAAAATGTCATGAACAACAGGTGCAATCTTCATTGAAGAATAGGCATTATTTTTAGTTATATGTAATTTGTAACAAGATAGCTCCTATGCAATGTTGAATGTATACTAAATTATAGCAAAAATGGGACCACATGACTCCTTCATATTTTTATGGTGTATGAGGGAAAAAAGAGAAATATAGAGAGGGGGTGGGGGGAGTCAGAGAGCTCTTATCTACTGTTGAATGTTTACTAAACTATAACATAAATTAGCTGATCTGAGTCATAGATATTTTTGTGGTGTATGGGAAAGGAGGAGAGAACTTGTCGACCTGTACAAAGTCTACAATAAATGTGCTAGACAAGCTAGAAATGAAACAAAAGAGACCGGACAGAAACAGTAAGGAGAGAAACATAATTCTGGCCATTGCATGTAGCCTATAAACCCAACTTAACTATCTTGGCACCCACGTGGGTTCCAGGGCCCCATTCTGAAGGAAAGAAAACAGACCTATCACCTAACTAAAAAGCATGTTGCAAAAAAAGACTAATTAAGGATTTTTCCCTTTGAAGTCAGAGCAAATCTACGTGAAAGGTAAGGAACTTACAGTCTGCCTACAAGAAAGCAAGATCTGTACAATGGGTGTGCATACAGAATTCAAGTTCTGGAGCAAGAGTTTACAGCTGGTGAAAGATAAGAAGAAGCAGAAGAAGAGGAGGAGGAGGAGGAGGAGGCAGAAGAAGAATACCTTGGACTTTTGCAGCCGAGGCTTGGCCACCTGGACTGTTGTTGTTGAGCAGAGGAGGGGAATCCCTGTCCCTCAGCTGTAGCGTCGTCTTCAGGGTCGGCTCCAAGGCTCGTTTAGTGGACACTTCTCCCTGAGCCTGGTCAGTCTGCTGTAAGTCAGCGGCGGCCAACTTACTCATGATGGATGGGGTGAACTCAGACAGGCTGTCGTAGACACTAGGTCAAACAGACAATTATAACATGTCATGAGAAGAAATAATTCATCAGGATATCTCATAAGTTTCTATACTTAGGAAAATCACCAATGCATTACAAGCATAACAGCAGCTATGCTTATACGTCCACTGCTTCAGCAGAGCATCGCAATGTGTTTTCAAAACAATGTTGTTTTTCATATGTATGGAAACTTATGGGACATCTTGCAGTTTGTGTAATCTGCAACGTAAACCAATTCTCAATGTCTGTGAAACAGACTTCCTATCTATTGTGCAACTGATATTTTAACATTTCATGTATTTTGTCATTAACTTCTGGAAACAAACGCAAAAATACATATATTCAAAAACTGAAATTCATTAACATTTGACTCAACTGAACTATTATCTCCATCATTTGCAATGCAAAGGTTCATCTGCTTTGTAAATTTCACATGAACTCGATGTAATACATTTATTTACTATGTGTACAGACTTTAGGAACCCCTTTACAATAGCCCACAGGTCTGGGATTAACTTTGCTTCTGGTTCCTGAAATCTGCATCACTAAAACTTGCTTCCACTTGGTCAGTTCAGAACAACTTTTTTTTTTAAAAATGTGGGTAGTTTTTCTAATTTAGGAATTCTGCCTATGCAAATTACTTATTAGGCCTATTTGTATAAAAATGCTGATGGATTATTACTTGTGCCCCCCGTGTGGGTTCCGGGGCCCCATTGTGGGTAAAACAAGATAGACCCACTGCCTCCCCAAAAGAAGGCGTAAGAGTCGACTAATTGGGGAGCTTCCTTTGAAGTCGGAGTGCATCTGCCGGAGAGGCAAGGAACCAACAGTCTGTATTCAAGAGAATGAGATATGTAAAACTGATGCACACGCAACACTCAGGTTCTGGAGCAGGACTGCAGTTCAGTAGTGGACAATCAACCAGAACTTTCCGCCAGAGTGTACAGCTGGTGAACGCGAAGAAAAAGAAGAAGATTACTTGTGCAGAAGATTACTTGTGCAATGTGCACAAGGGCCCTCTGATGTTTTGCCTCTGTCCAAGAAGGCTAAACAACTGATCCACAACTTTAGGATCAAGTGGAGCATACCATCCACTGTTAAAAATTGTATTATAACAGTTAATGCTGAGCTCTTCTTCTTCTTCGTGTTTGCCGGCTGTAAACTCTGGAGGAAAATTCTGGTTTTTCGCCCACTTGTGGACTTTAGTATTGTTGCAGAACCTTCAGTTTTTCAGGCACATCCGTTTGCCAGATCTGGCTCAATTGTACATAAACTGTAGCTCTCTTGCGTCTCATGGTAGATGCCCTCCGACTTCAAAGGAAACAGCATTAATTAGTCGACTTTTACCACATGCTTGCTAGAAACAGTGGTCTATTCCTCCCCCTTAGCTCCCACAACGGGGAGGGACAGTGGGTCTATTCCTCCCCCTTAGCTCCCACAACGGGGAGGGACAGTGGGTCTATTCCTCCCCCTTAGCTCCCACAACGGGGAGGGACAGTGGGTCTATTCCTCCCTCTTAGCTCCCACAACGGGGCTGCCGAACCCACATGGGGAACACGGTGAGATAAATCAAGATCTTCCTGAGCCAGAGGGATACAGCTCTAACCCTCACATCGGTCTCAATAACCACTTCCAGATTTAAAATTATCATCAGATAAACAATGGATAATGAGATCTCATACAGTAGATGAACAACAAATGTACAAATGCAAGAGCACACGACCCGTATAACAATTGAGAAAACAAGTCTTGGCTGGCAGCTGGTCAAGAAGACAAGCTCTGACAGGTGCAGAGCCCAGCTTTTCTGACCAGGTAGCTTCTGCAGCATACTTTGTTCGAAACATATTGGTGTTACCTTTACTTTGGAGTAAACAAGGCAGGCTGAGAGAGGGATCAAGCTTCATGGGCGGGCAACATACTATCTCTATAATACTGCCCAGACTGTGTGCTATGGAGAGGAGGAACTGTATTCCTACACAACCCTGACACACACACACACACACACCAACACAATATAACACTATCATCTGGGAAGAGGGAAAGGTACCAACAATAAACAGGAGCCCAAAGATAAGCATGGAAGGCTACACTACTCACAGATCAAGCTGGTTGCTGATATCCTCCAGGTCCAGCACACTTTGTGACATCTCCTCCCTGGTTGTCATCTCACTGATCACTGTCTTGAGGATGGCAGTAATCTTCTCAGAGAATATCCTGTATTGGGTTAGATAAGCTCGAATGCTGCCTGGGTGCACGTCCTCCCCGTAATCTTGTTCCTCCAGCTGGGAAATCAATGCAAACATATTAACATGCCACGTGCTTCTGAGAGAATATGAGCAAACATAATCAACATACCACGTGCTTCTGAGGGAATAGGTAAAAATACACCTTCTTTATAATTATGAAAGACTGGCATCAGATCCAGGTAACTAAGTCAAGCATGACCAGGGAGATAACTGCTGCTTCCACAGCACTGGCATGGATAGCAGAACGATCAGCCACATATGCAGTAATTGTTTCAGACTCAATGAACGTGTTTCAGAAAATCACAGCAGGTAGTTTAGGCTCTGAAAAGGTAGAAAGCTTTCAGAAGTCACCCTCTATCACCTGCATGTCTACCCATATGCACGGGGAAGAAGCATGGACACAGCTGGTGTCACCAAACGCTGTATGGAATAGGCTGGTGAATAATGATGAATCTCTAGTGCTAACATGACTTTGTGAACTGGAAGTAAAGCCTGATAAAGCTCGTCTATGCCCTCTTTAAGATCACTATAATTAATGTCTCATGGGAACAATCAGTAGCCTTGGAGTGGCTGCTGCATTGGAGGACTGAGCACATAAGGGAGTGCCTAATGTGCAGTGACTTCAATTGAGATAACATGACATTAGAAGACCTGGATTACTTTATTTCTTTTCGACTAACAGATTTTTTCTTCTTTTTCTTCACATTCACCAGCTGTAAACTCGGACAGAAAGTTCTGGTTGTTCATCCTCTTCTAGCCTTGTCCCAGAACTTGAAATTTGTGTGCACATCTGTTTTACAAATCTGGCTTATTTTGTATGCAGACTGTTGGTTCCTTGCCTCTCAAGCAGATGCACCCCAACTCCGAAGGAAACATCGCCAATTAGTAGAGTCTTACAGCCTGCATATAAGCGGAGCAGCGGGTCGGTTCTTTTCCCCTGGCTACAATGAGGCTCAGGAATCCAAATGGTGAGGGATATTCAACAGCAAGGGGGAAACATAGGCAGACTTTTAAGCAGGCTGCAACTAGTACTATTATCATACTGACTTTTGTTGACTACTGAGGCAGGGGACGGAGCACATGTGGAAATGTCCTGAGTGGAGAGATGTCATTTCTGGATTATTTCATTCATAAACACTGGCCAACAGTTCCAGGTCGCAGCTTCAAATGAAGAGAGATCAGCTTTATACAAAATGCTCCTCTCAATAGGAAATAGGGATTTTACACGTCTCGTTTGTTAATCCTGAAATGAACATGTAACTAGCTGGCAAACTGATACCAATCTTAAAATTAACATTTTGTTTCTGTGGTTTGCCTATCACTTGTATCAATTTTTAAAAATAGCTTTATAATTCTGAAGTACCAAGTTCAATTCAGCTGTAGGCAGTTTGGCAACAGACTGGCCATTCAGAAAGCAATGGCAAACTACTCAAAATGTAAAACTGCCTAGCAATACCACAAAACAGCCCCAACAACATGTCCTGTAAAGGACGGGCAAATGGCTATTATCAATCAAACATCCCAAGCAGTGTCAGATCTGAGACACGCTGAAAGCATAACTTTAAAAAAAAAAAAGAATGAAATGATGAACTCACTTTAGCTAAAGTCTTCAGGATGGACCTTATGTCAGACATCAGCCGGTGGTGGGTAGAGAGCAGACCCTTGATCATGGCCACAGACTCCTTGATGTCTCGCTGTCAGATACGGACAAGGTAGAGACAAATTACGTCATTGACTTCATCACTACTAAAATGTATACCCAATTATAACACTGAATCCCAACCTCTCACAACATTTAATCTCATCCCTTCACAACACTGAATCCTAACCCCTCACAACACTTAATCTCATCCCCTCACAAAAACTGAAACAATGAATCCCATCACAACACAACACTGAATCCCATCCCATCACAACACAGTATCCCATCACAACACTGAATCTCATCATAACAGTGTATCCTATCACAACATTGAATCCCATCACAACACTGTATCCCATCACAACACTATATCTCATCAGAACACTCTATCCCATCACAACACAGTATCCCATCACAATACAGTATCCCATCACAACACAGAATCCCATCACAACACTGAATCCCATCACAACACTGAATCCCATCACAACACTGTAACCCATCCCATCACAACACTATATCCCATCACAACAATTAATCCCATTATCATAATCTCAAGCAGAAACAGGGAACCACAAAAGCCAACCTGGCAGTCAATGAGGCTGTGAGCGATCTGCTCCATAGTCTTCTTGGCATCAGCAACAGTCTTGTCGACAGCTTCTATAGCTTTCTTGATCCATGTCAGATCTGACTTCTCACCATCACCCAGTGGCTGCAATCCACAGCGTCAAATGAACAAGATATATTATTCAATGATTTCATTGTATTAGTACATGATATATTATTTAATAATGTTTGTTTGTTTTGAATGTAGATGATAGCTTAATTTTCATTTTTGTTATTTTTCTAAAAATTAAGTAAGTGGCTGCAGCCCATAGGATAAAATAAACAATGATTTATCATGAAATTATTTCCACTGCATAAGTGGCTACAGTCCACAGCATGAAATGAACAAGAAATATTGTTAGTTTCCCTCAATCAGTCAGCTATATATTATTAAATGGCAGTCATTATTAGCATCTGTGGGGTAGGCGTGGCAAATGCGCTTCACAATGCTGGGCTGCCAGGTTTGATCCCAGCTGCAGCTGACTGACAGCAGACCACCTTGTGTTGGTTTGAATAGTGTTATCAAGAGCCGACCATTGAGCAGGCAATAGCAAACTAATGAACGTGAATTTCCCTTAAAAACGCAAGAGCCAAAAATCACTGGGGTTGTTTCTGCAACATTCTGTAAGATACATGAAACTAATGTTTTTTTTTTTTAATTATTAACCTGACACTGGTCTACTCTTCATGTTTGTGTGTGTTATATTTCCTAACTGTGTAGGGATTTGTAACACGTGAAATATGTACACAGATTCTGCTGCTTTTCTCACAGAAGATTAGACATCCACTGTCCTCAGGATTAAGCGAGTCAGTAGAACAGTTTTGTCTATTTTGTTTAAATCCAAGTCATCAATGATGTGCATTGAACCACCTGTGCTCACAATGGACATCTTAATAACAACGTTAAATCCCGGTTAAGACAAAATAAACTGTAGGAAAACAAAAATTGACTGACCTTTATGTCCAGCATTCGAAGTTCCAGGTCGGAAACAGAGCTGCTGGTCGACTCCAGTAGCAGGCAGCACTCTGAACATCTGCAGAAGAAAACAAACCAGGAGTCAAGAGTTAACCTGGCAGCCGCTGCATCCTTGTCACCTCCTGGCTCACATGTCAAGAGTTTAAATCTGCATTGACACAAAGTTTATTTTCAAAGCGATCTTGGCTCCAAGAGTTTGCCCAGCCTAAAATGGATATGGGGTAATATCCTGTGAAGTAAAGGTGGTCAGCCTGATGCTGACCACATCGATCATCTAGTGCCCAATGGCCTATAAAAACATAGGTCTAGCACTATTTGCCAGACACACCAAAAGCGAGGAAAGAGTCCTGTACTGTGTCTGATTTACTTACTACAGTCAACACACCTACAAAAGACAAGAAACATAAGACATTCTTACCCTATACAAGACAAGAAACACAAGAACTTCTAACTCTACACAAAACTAGAAACATCAGACATTCTAACACTATACAAGACAAGAAACACAAGACATTCAAACCTTCTATAAGACAAGAAACATAAGACATTCTAACCCTATACAAGACAAGAAACACAAGAACTTCTAACTCTACACAAGACTAGAAACATCAGACATTCTAACACTATACAAGACAAGAAACACAAGACATTCAAACCTTCTATAAGACAAGAAACATAAGACATTCTTACCCTATACAAGACAAGAAACACAAGAACTTCTAACTCTACACAAAACTAGAAACATCAGACATTCTAACACTATACAAGACAAGAAACACAAGACATTTAAACCTTCTATAAGACAAGAAACATAAGACATTCTAACCCTATACAAGACAAGAAACACAAGAACTTCTAACTCTACACAAGACTAGAAACATCAGACATTCTAACACTATACAAGACAAGAAACACAAGACATTCAAACCTTCTATAAGACAAGAAACATAAGACATTCTTACCCTATACAAGACAAGAAACACAAGAACTTCTAACTCTACACAAGACTAGAAACATCAGACATTCTAACACTATACAAGACAAGAAACACAAGACATTCAAACCTTCTATAAGACAAGAAACATAAGACATTCTAACCCTATACAAGACAAGAAACACAAGACCTTCTAATTCTACACAAGACAAGAAACATCATACATTCTAACTCTATACAAAACAAAAAACATAAGACATTCTAGTCCTACACAAGACAAGAAACCAGTCTGTCTGCTGTTAGTTTCCCATCAATATAAACATAAAGTTCTCCGTGATATACTCAGATCTTCTAGACATCAATTCTGAATCAATGTTAATCTCTGTGCTATTTTCAGAGAAAAATAGTTGCAGACTGACTGCTGTCTTCATGCTAATGTCCGTTAATGGGTTTATCTGTTCTTTATTATCCTGGATGTAGAGACTGAAAAACAGATGTTAAAAAAACCCCACATAATATACAGAGACAAATAATTTGTTGGCTTGACTACATGCTATTATCAAGACATAACACATGCCTGATATGATGATTGAGCAAGAGAAAGAACAAGCCTCGGCTGGGCAGATAATGATGATGATGATAACGATGAATACACAAACAAAATGCAGATGAAAGTAATCTTGTAGACAGAAAAGTTAAAACTGAAAGGATCAACTACACTGCACCAGGTTATCTCATATGGCTTGGTCTTTGTGCAGAATGACTAGCCGCCTGCCAAGAGCATCACACAAAGCACAAACTCAGTAGTTCCAGTGGGGATCTCTGTAAAAACTGCATTCGTGAACTTAATGCTTCCAAGAAACAAACACACAACCTTTAGGGCATGAGGCAATTGGTTTAACCACTTTCTCATGGAGATGATAAATCTATTTTTCTAGGAATTAATCCGAAAGAACTAAGTTTCACAATGATATAATGACACTAGTTTTAGATTTTTCTCCCACTCACTTGGATGTTCCATTGTGGTATTTTGTTTTTATTTTCAAAAGATGATGGTCAATTTTTGTCTGGTAGACAGAAAAGAAATTAACATGTCATACTCACTGGTTAAGCAGCTGCAGAAAGTTGGAGTCAGTAGTAGAAGCCTCCTGGGTATGAGTCCGCAGGGCCTCCAGGTGAAGAACTCCCTGGCACAAACTGACTGCTTCCGATACTCTTTTGCCTTCCTCCTGAAATCAAGACAACACAAAAACTATAGGCTCCTTCCCCTAAATTACTATACACTAACGAACAAATTGTATTTTCAAAGGGTCAAAAATTGGGTGCGCAGGCCTTTCTTACATTCTGCCCTTCTAAACACCCGTCTGTCAGAGACCTACTTTACTAGGTATATTTAATTTGGCTCGCTAGGTAGGCCAGCTAACAGACTTAACTACCCTAGACACACTTAAGACACACTCCTGCTAAGTACAAGCATAATCTTTAATGTACAATGAACAAATAGACTTTGAACACTTCAACTGAGCTAGGCAGTTCCCATCCGAAACCCCTGGCGAAGAGCAGCTTTACAATCACTGGTCAACCCACGCAGGTTCCCATGGATCTATCAGGAACACGACTCCTAGCTGACAGTTTATCAGTGCTAATTAGGCCGCCGTCTATTGCCACACGGGACTCAGCGATACACGTAATGTGTATGGCCTAAGCGTGACCTGGCAGTGTTATCGCCATTACAATGCGCGTCACAACTTTACTATCTGCTCAAATAAATACTGCATGGAATGTCTACTACACAAAGAACATTAACTTTATACTGTCTAGTCGAAACATTGAATAGAAACACAGCCTATCATCGATACTACACACAAAGATCCTATTTCAACTAACCATCACTAAACCTAATTTTACCTAGTCAAAGTGTTCCGTCTTGTTGTCTCGTCCCGTTTCAGTACATGACTCCCCCTCAACCAGCTCGGACAAAGCTTTTTGTTTCCAGCCCGAGTTCACAGCTCAACACGCAGTAATCTGTGTCACCTGTGTGAACTAGGCTTGGTCCGTTAACTGGACCCAGTTTATTCCGTGGTCAAGCTGTCCGCTCTCATACTGAGTTGTACTGAAGGTCAACTCGTTCATACGTGATGATTCACTATCATCCGAGTTGTCCTGCCCTCTGACACCGTCATACACACAGCAGTTGCATTTCATCAATAAGTATGTTATATTTATATGATAATATGAATATTATGAAAATCAAGTGAAAAACCCCCACAAAATCATGGGTGATAAAATGCATGCACACACTACTGCACACACACATACACATATACACACCCACCCACTCACTTAAACACGCATATATACACACCCACATACATTCGCACACACACACACACCCATTTACCCACATAAATACCTACCTACACACACATTCCACACACATACATATACACACATGCACACCCACAGAAACAAAGGCAGACACACACACACAAACAAACACACATATGCGCACAAACACAAACACACTTGTTTAACAAGCTAAAGACAGAGAAAGATGGCAGGTTTTGTGTGTGCTAGTGATCCCGTCAATACACCTTCACAACCCTAAAGGATCAAGGGTTATGTATGTATGCATATCACAAACCCCTTAACTTTGTTCCAATGACCCTTGGGGTCTGCAGACCACGATATGGGCCAATGAATGAAGATATTTAAAGAGGAATGAATGTTTAACTGCATTTCCCACAGACCCACCTGCCTGCCTACCAACCAATAGCTTTTGGGTTCAAATCAATAGAGCAGATTTCTACAATGACCCAGAATAAAATGGATACCCGGATGTGTTCTGGGAAATAAAGGTGGCGAGCGTAATTTCTGCATCACCCATCAAGTGCCAACTGGTCTATAAGCAAAACGGCTCCAGCACCACACAAAGTATTAATGGTGTGAAAAAGGTCCCTTACTTTACACATGGATCATTTGTTTTAAATTCAATTCCTTCTGAACTATATATATGGGGACTAAACCAACAAACTGACAGTTACAGTTAAAATGTAACCAAACATCATCATCACAAATCAGCACTCCTTTAGAGAATGTCACTCTCATCACAGCCCATCTGAAAGTTTCTCTCTCTAGGCAACTGTCCAGCCCTATGTGCTTTCACAGTCAACACTTCTTTAATGTCACCCTTTAACTGGGGACTAAACCACCAGTTTATTCAAAAACTATTCAAACTCTGACAGCTACAGGTAAAATGTAACTAACCATCACAAATTAGCACTCCTTTACATTTCACTCTCATTACAGCACGCCTGAAAGTTTCTTTCTCTAGGCAACTGTCCAGCCCTATGTGCTTTCATAACCAACCCCTCTTTAATGTCCTGTATCCAGCTTCAGTTCTCTGCCTCAGGTTCCAGAAACTGAACCCCCCCCCCCCCCCCCCCCCCCTCTAACCATTCTCTCGTGGCCACCATGACATTTAAAATGACCTAAATACCTCCGCTTCTGGGACAGGATGCTGTTTATGAGCCAGTTCTCCTTGATGTGAGATCATGCAGGATGTCAGTGTTTTTCTTCTTTTTGATTCATGGTATTCTAAGAATTTTTCTTTAACATCTGAGTTCAACCTCTTGTCACCCATCCTGTTATGACAAGCACCCATTCAGCTTAAATTATAACTACAACTCAAATCACACAGTGCTAGAACTCCTGAGACCCTAATACCGTTGTTCTTGATACAACTCTTCCCTGTGTGGGTTCTTGGACCCCATTTTGAGGAAAACAAAAGAATCCACCCACTGTCCCCAAACATGTAAGCTGTAAAAACTGACTGAACAGGCGTGTGCTGGGTGAAAAGACACAGACATCACTGCTTGGCCGTAAACCCCAATAGAACTTGTCACCCACATTTAAAAGGTGAAAATATATGAAGAAGAAAAGTAACAACACCTTAAAACAGAATGGGTTAAAATAACGACTGCCTGGTAATGAAAGAGTTCAGATAACCATGACATCATCATGTGCTCTGCTAGTTGGCGTAGGCGCTCATGCCTCTCCACAGTTCACAATCCCTGGTTGACTGGAACAGCTCTCTTGATGATATCCCCCCATGTCATCCTTCAGCCCATCCAGCATCATTTCTCTTGGTCTGCCTCTACCCCTCTTTCCACTGATCTGTCCAGTTGTCACAATGTTTTCGTCTGCCTCATTACATGGCCAAAGAACAATGTCTGTCTCCTTCTTATTGTTGTATATAGAGATCTACTTTCATTAACTTCTTTCCATGATAACCCTGTACAACGTCCATATCCTACATTTGCACACACACCCCATTGTGTTACAGTACTTACTTCAATGATTTTCTTGCGGTAGCTGGCTGCCTTCTCAAAGTTGTTGAGCACTGTGTTCAGGGAAGGGTTGGCTCCCGCTGCCCACCTCAACCTTTGGCTAATGCTGGCCTCCATTTGTGAGTAACGCTCTTGGCAAGATGAGAGTAAGGACTCCTGCGACAACAAAGTCTGGACAGACTGCAGAATGAAGATAAATGAAACGGGTCTGTAGATTAGTTCATATTCTAATGTGTTGATGCTGTAGTTTATATATACACATATATATATTTTTATTTTTAAAGTTACAGTTAAGAGTTTCCAGTTCACTGCTCTAGGTTTTACTCCATATGGCTTAGTCTCCTTTTACAGAAAGGCTATCTGCCTGCTGGGGATGTCACACAAAGCATGAAACCAGTAGCTTCAACGATAATCCCTGGGGACCTCTGCAAAATTCCATTGTGAACCAGACGGCCCAGTCCGTGAAACAAACCCTTGACCTTCACAGCGTAAGGTAAACGGCTTGACCACTACCAGGTAATATCATGTGACACTATTTTCTCATACTTCACTATTTCAGCCCCACACACAGGTGTTACTTAAACTCTGTCCCTTTAAAGTTATCATTTCAACTAATAAATGGCTGGGTATGTTGAGTTGAAATAAACACACTGCATGTTTAGTATTGGAACAGAAGTTAAATGCATGTGGAAAAAGAAAAAGCCTAAGGAAACTCAAAAATTGAATGGGAAGAGTTCAAGAATGAGGAGGAAAGCAGCGAAATAGTTAGACTACTGTTTGTATCAAGAGCTATAAGAAAAAGAAGATGGCAAACTACTGGGCATATCGGGAACAGAAGCGGACACAGAATCACCAAACAGGCATTGAAATGAGAAACAAATGGATTACGGACGAGGACATCTGAGAGACAACTTAAATGTTGCTGAGACAGGCCAAAGCTGCTGGAGTGGATTCCATCCATTATATTGAAAAGGTATACAACGCACAACAGGATGGTGATATGATGTTTAGTATTACCTTCTTCATTTCCAGCATGACACTGCCTCTGCCAGGGACCACCATCTGAGACAGCTGCCTTCCAGTCTGGGTGAAGAGGTCCTCATGGAGCCACTGGAAGCGAGTCAACTGGGGCTGGCACCTCTGTACTTGACCTTTCATCAGCACAATGTGGTTGTCCAACCGTCTGCAGATGAAACAAATTCACAGCCCAGTTAAATCAGTTTTCTACTTTTTTTTTCTACCAGTTTCACAAAGCCTGAAGCTAACAAACTGATGGTGATCCACAGGAACAGCTGGTCTCAAGCTAGTCAGAGTTGAGGCAAAGCCACCAACAGGCTGTGAAGAACCAACATGGCCACAGTGACATCCAGTGTTAATGCGAATGGAAGGCAAGGTGTCGACAGAGGCTTGTTGTTGGGTGGAGAGAAGCCGGTTCCCTCCTGGCCAAGGTGATGTAGACCAAACAGCACTGGGACTTGAAAACATAAATGACACCTTCATTTGGGCGAGAATAAGTGTCACTGCGGTAAAGCCATCTTTTTTATGTCAGCAAACAGAGTGGGGAGAGCAGAACAGGAAAAAACACCCTGGAGTTACGACCCACATGGGCCCGCCCTCACATGGTATCCAGAAGATAAAGAGACCTAAAATTTTGTGAACTCCTTCTGATGAAAGGAAGCATCCAGTTAGGCTTGTTCCTCTGTGGAGTTCTTACTATTCAAGGTTAACCTTTTTGCCTTTTATCTCAAAGCGTCCTTTTAAAGTTAATCAATACAGACATAATTTGTTTCTATCGAAACAAATACTGTTTTTTAAAAAAATCAGTGCCTGATGCTCCTCTTATTCTGTAGCTCTAATCTGCAACAGTGAGTTCAGTTGTCAGGTCAACACAGGCGCTGCTACCTGGGTAAGGAACATTCATATCTGTACTACTGAACAAGGGAAGCAAAGGACAGTAAAAGTGCTAACTATCATGTTGTAAAGTGGCATGGACAATCGTGCTTCTTCCTGTCTTTCAATCTACAGCAGAAAGTATTTGTGTCCTGACATTTCTTTATGCTAGAATGCTGTCCAGCATTTTCTCCCCTGACTGCCTTTATTTGTCTTTCCCCCTGGAACCAGATACTTCCCCCGGTACCAGATACTCCCCCCCCCCCCCCCTCGGTACTAGATATCCCCCCCCCCCCCCGGTACCAGATACTCCCCCCGGTACCAGATTACTTCCCTCGGTACCAGATCCCCCCCCCCCCCCCCGGTACCAGATTACTCCCCCCGGTACCAGATTACTTCCCTCGGCACCAGACAGATACCCCCCCCCCCCCCCCCCCCCGGTACCAGATACTCCCCTCGATACCAGATAATCCCCCTGGTACCAGATACTCCCCCTGGTACGATACTCCCCCGGTACCAGATACTCCCCCTGGTACCAGATACTCCCCCCGGTACCAGATAATCCCCCTGGTACCAGATACTCCCCCGGTACCAGATAATCCCCCTGGTACCAGATACTCCCCCTGGTACCAGATACTCCCCCGGTACCAGATAATCCCCCTGGTACCAGATACTCCCTTTCAACATGAAAAACTAATAAAGATTGAAAAAAAAAAAAAAAAAAAAAAAAGATTATGTGCAGCTAAGTCACTTACAAGAAGTTTTTTTGCTACAAAAGTCACAGCTACAGGAAAGTTCGTACTGGTCAAAGAAGACACAATGAAGATCATTTATGAATAAGTGCTGACGTAGACACAAGGTTAGATAAAATAACATGTGTAATCAGGTGTGGAGCCGGCAAGCAGGGGTGCATGAAAGGAAGAGAACAAACTGTGCTATGAGAACAGTTACCATCTTCACCTTAAGACATTTGCTGTGGGGAGGAAGCATCTATGCTATGGGTATGAATGGTGTGCTATGATGTCAATTCTTAAACCAACAATAAATTCTGTAAGTTGCCTTGAAAGGAAAGACACTAAGAAAAGAAACTGACCACCCCATCTCACACGTTATAACCTAGAATGGGTGACAACCAAACATTTTACAGCTCAGCTGAGTATATGCTAGGTGACTTTCCTTACCTTTGACAAGATGACACACCAAAAGAAAAGAAGAACCAGTCAGCTCCACAATATTGCATACCCAAATGACAAGGGAACTATGTGGCTAGAGAGGCTTCATCAGCACATCACAAGAATATACAATACCCCATACATGAACAAGAATACAAAGTAACTTTGTCCGACAAAGACGATCTTTATAATGAACAACGAACAAAGTAACTTAACTGAAGTATTTCTGAGAGAAAATCACCTATCTTTACTTTTAAATCATGTGTGACTAAAACATTGCAAGCAAAAAAAAAAAAAAAAAAAAAAGATATCTAAATATCTACTCACTTGGCCAAGTCCAGTTTTCTCCAGGCTGTGTCCAAATTGCTGGTGAGAGCTGTTACCTGGGTCAGGTGTCTGTGCTGGAACTGACCAGTGGTCAAACAAGTTTCCATGCCTTTCTTACACAAGGCATCTAGAGGCACTTTCCACTCTGCTCCTATATCCTTGAGTTCAATCTCTGCCCGGACGTTCACCCCCAGCTCTCCCAGGAACACACAGATGAGATAGCCCAGGACTTGAGATGGGAAACCCAGCACCTGCATACGAGAAACATTCAGCTAAACTAAAACTACAGTGGTCACATTTACAATGAAACACTGGACTATGTATACTGAAACACTGGACTATGTATGCTGAAACACTGGACTATGTATACTGAAACACTGGACTATATATGCTGCTGAAACATTGGACTATATATGCTGCTGAAAAACTGGACTTTGTATGCTGAAACACTGGACTATGTATGCTGAAACAATGGACTATATATGCTGCTGAAACACTGGACTATATATGCTGCTGAAACATTGGACTATATATGCTGCTGAAAAACTGGACTTTGTATGCTGAAACACTGGACTATGTATGCTGCTGAAACACTGGACTATATATGCTGCTGAAACACTGGACTATGTATGCTGCTGAAACACTGGACTATGTATGCTGCTGAAACACTGGACTATGTATGCTGCTGAAACACTGGACTATGTATGCTGCTGAAACACTGGACTATGTATGCTGCTGAAACACTGGACTATGTATGCTGAAACACTGGACTATGTATGCTGAAACACTGGACTATGTATGCTGCTGAAACACTGGACTATGTATGCTGCTGAAACACTGGACTATATATGCTGCTGAAACACTGGACTATATATGCTGCTGAAACATTGGACTATATATGCTGCTGAAACACTGGACTATGTATGCTGAAACACTGGACTATATATGCTGCTGAAACACTGGACTATGTATGCTGCTGAAACACTGGACTATATATGCTGCTGAAACACTGGACTATGTATGCTGAAACACTGGACTATATATGCTGCTGAAACACTGGACTATATATGCTGCTGAAACACTGGACTATATATGCTGCTGAAACACTGGACTATGTATGCTGAAACACTGGACTATGTATGCTGAAACACTGGACTATGGAAGTAAAGGATTTTTTTAAAATGCCTCTTACAAATGATGATGATCATCATGTGCCCTGCCAACTAGCGTAGGCACTCATGCGTCACCACAGATCACGATCCCTGGTTGCCTGGAACAGCTCTCTTGATGATATCCCTCCATGCCATCGTTTCAGCCCATCCAGCATCATCTCTCTTGGTCTGCCTCTACCCCTTTTTCCACTTATCTTTCCAGTTGTCACGATGTTCTCCAATGTCTGTCTTTTCATTATGTGGCCAAAAAACAGAGTTTATCTCTTTCTTATTGTTGTATATAGAGATCTCCTTTAATTAGCCTCTTTCAAGCAATCGTTGTTAGTTATTCTGGCCGTCCGCGGTATTTGTAACATTCGTCTCAGAAACCACATCTCTGTTGCTTCCAAATTCTTCCTAATTTGTTCAGTGACATTCCAAGATTCGCTGCCATACAGCAGAACAGAATCTATGTAAAATTTTAGCACCCTCTTTCTGACATTAAATGAGAGCGATTTATTGAATAAGATATTTTTCATTTTCTACAAATGATGCTGGGCTCATGTATTCAAAGATCGATTGGTTCTCAATGGATGATGTGGTCGACATCACATCGGCCAGTTTTACTTCCCAGGATATTACCTGGTACTTATTTTAGGTTGCACCAACCTGGCAGCTGAGGTCAATTTTGAACCCCCCCCCCCCCCCCCCCCCCCCCCAAATCTGACTTGATGGGGATTCGAACCCAAGACCTTCAGGTCGGCAGGTGAGCTATGGCACCATGGCTCACCCAAATTATGTTAAAAAGTTAGCTGCACATTCTTTACAGCAGGTTTATTTAATCTTTTCAGTTGCACCAGGCAAAATATGTCCACCTCACAGACACACACACACACCAAAGAAATATGTAAACCGCGGCTTATTTGTTAAATCCGATGTCACAAACATATAATTTGTCAGCTCATGTGATATCTGCAGCTGATTAAGTAAGCTGTGTATCCTCTACAGGATGGTGCAGAACCAAACCCAGCATTTTCTGACTGTGATTTTACCAGACAATTTTATGTTCAGTAATTTGCCATGGCTTTCTGAACACATTACTGTGGATAACTGGTTGAAAAAAAACTGCTTTACACAACACTGCAAACCAATCCTGGCATTTATTGATTGATGTGTGGTTTTACTAGCCAATGTATGTTTAGTAGTTTGCCAGCGCCCTCTGAACTGTTCAATGCTCATACAGCTGTGAATGCAAATCAGGTTGATCCCAAACACTTGAAGTATTGATATTCTCAGGACATATTTCTAGAAAGAAAAAAGTGCTGGTTAAAGAACCCTTTCCTACGCCTTTAGGCGTATATGGCATATAGAGCTAGGAAACGAACCCACGACCTTCCAATCCACGGCAAGCGTCTAGCAGCTCCGCCACAGCGACTCCCAAAAGTGCTGGTTGTCCCTACAAAGTGTCTATTACAGTATTGGCGAAAAATGTATGCTACACACACACACACACAAATACAAAATAAAGTAAAGATGCAGGCACTGCATACTGCTATAAAAAAAAGCCCTTCATTCATTCACTCAGTATTCTACAAAGAAATCAGAAAGATCAGATACCACAACAGTTTTCTCAATACTCAGTCCTCAAAAGTCAGATGGTTAAGTCACACTTTGATCATGTTAGAGCTGAAGGTAAGGTTGGGGGGGGGGGGGGGGGGGGTCCTTAAGGTTTGAGGATTTAGGGATGCATAGCTAGTGCTATCGCTACAGATTGTGCAGGTTAGGATGTTATTTTTGCCTCCGACAGTATTTAAAAAAAATACCTAACCTTACTAAGTATTAGAACGAAGGTCTTCTGCACAAGAGCCCTGCGTTCTTATATTATTCAGTCAGCCATTCCTTAACTCCTTAATTAACCAACTAATGAGAGATTCAAAACTCACTTGTTTCCTGATAAAGTCAGCAATAAACTTCTTGACAGGTTTCACCATCTGTTCAACATCATGCACCACACCCATGCTCAGACCTGAAGGAACAGGAGCAACATGCAAACATGTAACAATGTCCATGTTTAATCAAAACAGAAAACTGAGATATGATGACATGTAATCAGTGCCTACATTTAATCAAAACAGAAAACTGAGATATGATGACATGTAATCAGTGCCTACATTTAATCAAAACAGAAAACTGAGATATGATGACATGTAATCAGTGCCTACATTTAATCAAAACAGAAAACTGAGATATGACGACATGTAATCAGTGCCTACATTTAATCAAAACAGAAAACTGAGATATGATGACATGTAATCAGTGCCTACATTTAATCAAAACAAAAAACATATGACGACATGTAATCAGTGCCTACATTTAATCAAAACAGAAAACATATGACGACATGTAATCAGTGCCTACATTTAATCAAAACAGAAAACTGAGATATGACCACATGTAATCAGTGCCTACATTTAATCAAAACAGAAAACTGAAATATGACATGTAATCAGTGCCTACATTTAATCAAAACAGAAAACTGAAATATGTCGACATGTAATCAGTGCCTACATTTAATCAAAACAGAAAACTGAGATATGACGATGTTTAATCAGTGCCTACATTTAATCAAAACAGAAAACTGAGATATGATGACGTGTAATCAGTGCTTACATTTAATCAAAACAGAAAACTGAGATATGACGTCGTGTAATCAGTGCCTACATTTAATCAAAACAGAAAACTGAGATATGACGACGTTTAATCAGTGCCTATATTTAATCAAAACAGAAGACTGAGATATGACGAAGTGTAATCAGTGCTTACATTTAATCAAAACAGAAAACTGAAATATGACATGTAATCAGTGCCTACATTTAATCAAAACAGAAAACTGAAATATGTTGACATGTAATCAGTGCCTACATTTAATCAAAACAGAAGACTGAGATATGACGAAGTGTAATCAGTGCTTACATTTAATCAAAACAGAAAACTGAGATATGACGAAGTGTAATCAGTGCTTACATTTAATCAAAACAGAAAACGGAGATATGACGACATTTAATCAGTGCCTAAATTTAATCAAAACAGAAAACTGAGATAGGATGACGTGTAATCAGTGCCTACATTTAATCAAAACAGAAAACAGATATGGCGACGTGTAATTAGTGCCTACATTTAATCAAAACAGAAAACTGAGATAGGATGACGTGTAATCAGTGCCTACATTTAATCAAAACAGAAAACTGAGATATGGCGACGTGTAATTAGTGCCTACATTTAATCAAAACAGGAAACTGAGATATGATGACGTGTAATCAGTGCTTACATTTAATCAAAATAGAAAACTGAGATATGGTGACGTGTAATCAGTGCCTACATTTAATCAAAACAGAAAACTGAGATATGACGACGTGTAATCAGTGCCTACATTTAATCAAAACAGAAAACAGATATGACGACATGTAATCTGGGATGTTCTCAAATGTAACAATGCTTAGCTTTAATCAAAACAGCAAGATGTGATATTACCAAATCTTTTTCTTTTTGTTATTTACTGGCTGTCAACTCCGGCAGAAAGTTGTGGTTATCATCCACCTCCAATTTCAAAGGAAGCCCCTAATTAGTTGACTCTTACTACATGCTTTTCAGGGAGGCAGTGGGTCTATTCTTGTTTCCTTCCCCCACAATGGGGGCCCCAAATGTAACAATGCCTACCTTGTACTAAAGCTGCAAAGTGTGACGCAATGTAACAATGCCTACCTTGTACTAAAGCTGCAAAGTGTGACGCAATGTAACAATGCCTACCTTGTACTGAAGCTGCAAAGTGTGACGCAATGTAACAATGCCTACCTTGTACTAAAGCTGCAAAGTGTGACGCAATGTAACAATGCCTACCTTGTACTAAAGCTGCAAAGTGTGACGCAATGTAACAATGCCTACCTTGTACTGAAGCTGCAAAGTGTGATGCAATGTAACAATGCCTACCATATACTGAAGTTGCTAAGTGTGATGCAATGTAACAATGCCTACCTTGTACTGAAGCTGCAAAGTGTGATGCAATGTAACAATGCCTACCTTGTACTGAAGCTGCAAAGTGTGATGCAATGTAACAATGCCTACCCTGAAGTGAAGTTGCTAAGTGTGATGCAATGTAACAATGCTTACCTTGTACAGAAGCTGCAAAGTGTGATGCAATGTAACAATGTCTACCTCGTACAGATTCTGCAAAGTGTGATGCAATGTAACAATGTCTACCTCGTACAGATTCTGCAAAATGTGATGCAATGTAACAATGCCTACCTTGTACAGAAGCTGCAAACTGGGAGGCCATATAAAAGAAATCTTTGATGGCTTGAAGCCTCTTGAGAAAAAACAAGCTGGCTAACAGTGGCCTTGTGGTGGTGCTGAAGGTTGAGAGCTGAAATAGTCAAAAGAGAGATAAAAATGCAAGATACAACAACAGATATACAATGCAAACAATCATTAAAAAAGGAAATTTCTTCTTTGCGCTCACCCACCGTAAACCCCGGCGGAAACTTCTGGTTGTTCATCCACTCCTGGTTTTGACTCAAAACTTGAAATTTGCCTGCACATCTCTTTTACAGGTCAGTCTTATCTGTATGCAGACTGTTGGTTTGTTGCCTCTCATGTAGATGCCCCCTGACTGTGATGGAAATACCACCTCATTGGTCAACTCCCAGTGACATGCAAATAATTAGGGAGCAGTGGGTCTATTCTTTATTCTCCTAAATGGAGCCCCTGAACCCACATGGGTCGAATGGAAAAACACAATATCAGCAGTTATAAGAACAACAGATCAAAACAATCAATTAGCATTTCACAAGTTAATTTTAACCACCACTGTCATTTTAGTCAAGTATTTTCTTTATTAACAGAATGTTTGATTTCTACCTTCAACAAATGGCAAAAATATATTAGCGACTGCTAAGAATCAAGGTCATATAAACTATATTCAGCTGAGCTTGGTAAGGGGAGACACCCAAGAATGGTAGGTATTAGTGTGTTCAGGTAGCTCTTTTAAAAAAAAAAAATACATTCCTTTTCGCTACTCCCATCTTTTAAGCAACTGTTTTATCAATAATTTTTCAAACCAGTATTTGTTTCTCTCTCAAGCACACTTTTCTTGTCAAATAAAAACAAAAAACAAACAAACTATAAATTAACTCTGTCAATCTAGACAGCAAGTCAATATTTGAGTCATGTCAATGCTTGGTTGTCAAGCAACCATGCTGGTCACACTACCAAAAATAGCCACCTAGTGTCTTCTTTTTCTTCGCATTTACCAGCTGTAAACTCTGGCGGAAAGTTCTGGTTGTTCATCCACTCCTGGACTGCAGTCCTTTTTCAGAACCTGAGTGTTGCCTGTGCATCCGTCTGACAGATCTGACTCATTTGTATGCAGACTGCTGGTTTCTTGCCTCTCTGGCAGATGTACTCCGACTTCTAAGGATGCTCCATGTTAAGCAACTCTTACGACATGCTTTTGGGTAGGCAGTGGGTCTATTCTGGGTTTCCCTAAAATAGGGTCCCGGGTCCCACATGGGGACATCTAGTATAAACCTGCCACTACTGTCTGTATTAACCACTTTTGCAGCGTGTGTGTGTCTGTGCGCTCGCTAGTGTCTATGTGTGTGGAAAAGGGGGGGGATGATGATGGTGGTAGTGGTGGTGATATCAGGGGGGACCCTGAGGATTTAGAACTACATGTCTAATGCTATTTCCACTGACTGTGCAGGTTACTATTTTTGTCTCCCTTGATAGAAAGAAATCCTCAATCTTTCAGAGGATTCAAACCTGGGTATTCCACACGAGAGGCCAGTGTTCTTAACCATTCAGCCAGCAGCTCCTCAACCATAATAAATTAGCCTGAATTAATTCCTACCTGCATGGATTTTGCTTCCCTCACAGTGTCAACCTTCTTCCAAACAGCAGGCACATCGAGGATCTGCATGTTGTCCAGCAGCTCAGCAAAGTCGGCCTCAAGTCTGGAGAACAACCCACTGAAGCCCATGAGCAGCATCTGCCCAGAGGTCAGCTGATCCGGGCCCAGCGTGGACAAATTTCTGTTTTGTAGCAGGTCAGCAAAGTCTTGCTGAAGCCGCTTCACTTCCATGTGGATCTCTGGCTTCTTGTCCTGTGGAGCATGTATGCATCACTTCCTTAAATTAAAAGGCTAACACACACAAACCAGTAAAAAAGTTGGTATTTTAACGTCACTGACTCTCCGATTACTGGGTTTTAAAATGGATACCAACAGAGGTCCTAGGAAGTAAAGGGGGATGACAGGATGTTGAAAACATCTTCCAATAAATGTTAATTAGTCTAAGAAAATACAAACTCTAGCACCCATTATCATTATCATCAAGTGCCTTGGTGACTGGCATGGACAATCATACCTCTCCACATCCTGCAATCTCTCCAACAGCTTTCACCAGCTCATGTGCTGACACCTGTCTCTGACATGTCAAGATTCTTCCCACACTGCAATTATGAACTCGATCATGACTGGTATATCTTCTTTTACATGAACCTTAATTTTCAGCTCCTTCTTTGCAACACTCATTGTGCCAACGCTAAATGGCAAAAATAAATATCTTCTCTAATCAATAAATATCTTCTCTAATCACAGACAGAATCTAGTCCTCTGAGCCAAGAAGCCAGGGCCCTACCTACTGTAACACAGCAGCTTTTAACCCAGAACATACAAATGACCCTTACACTTACATTCTCTTATCATAACTTCTCACCATGCCTACCTCACTGGGTAACTTCCTGTCCAGTATCTTACTCCTATGAAGGGTACATAAATGCAGAGCCTCCTCTACTGTTCAAGCACGGATGGAGATTTTCTGACCTGTCTCTACTGTAACAGCTAAGTGATTTTGTGTACTCTTGCTTGTAACTGTATCATTGACCCGATTGTTGAATGTTGATGATGGCTTTTTAACAGCAACGTTCATTTTTTCTTTTCCCCCTATGGGCCCAAATGTGGAGGATAGCAATATAAACAGACCAACTGCCCCCCTTCCTTACCCCCGACACAAGCATGTGGTAAAAGTCTCTCATTAGGGGTGCCTTCTCTGAAGTCGGTGTGCATCTGCCTGAGAGGCAAGGCACCAACCGACTGCTTTTAAATAAGCCAGATAAGTAAAATAAATGTGCATGCAAAGCTCAAGTTCTTGAACACGACTCAAGTCCAGAAGTGGATAAACAACCAGAGCTTTTCCCCCTAGTTTGCAGCCAGTGAAGAAGGAGAAGACTTTCTCATTCATGGCTGTGGAGAAACTGTCGAGTTCTACTCCTCATCTGGAATATGTTTGCAGAACACATAAGCTTCACGTGGATACTCACCTCCATCCCCATGATGGCATTTCTGTGCATCAGCTCCAGGTGACTGATGAGAGTGTCCAGGGGCAGACTGCTCTGGCTGATGATGGACTCCAGGCGCGACAGAATGGACAAAAAATGTTCATCTTGAGCTTGGGTCAGTTTTCAAGGCCTCGGGCAGAATGATAGAACGGAAATTCATGTTCAGATCCTGGTAAAAATGAAATCAAAACAAATAATAAATTTAAAAAAAAAAAATTACAATCTTAAGAAAAATCTTATTGGGGTTTACAAGTTGTGGATGAATAACCACCACAAGCTTCTTTTAATCAGAAATTGATCACATAACTAGTTAGTATTATTTTACACACAAAGTATTTGAAAAAAACTAGTTATATCACTTGTTATTTTACTTAGAAACTGCCTATAACCTGGTGCATCATCATCACCATCATCCAGTAAACACTGTGTGTCGCTGGGTCACCAGCCATTGTTGAACTGACTGATCACCTCAACCAGTTATGTTACTTACAAACTGGTCATATAACGATTTCATTTCCACATACAAAATGGTAAAACTGTTCTAATCAGCAACAATGATAACACAGAACCACCTAATTTACATGAATTCCAAGGGCCCAAAAAAAGCAGGGGTCATAAAAAAAAAACTGGTGTTAACTGGGAAATAATAGATGTTTTATGAATAATATATTGTTGCTGTCGACTCTGTGGCTAAGTCGATGGGAATGATTCATAATGCCGGGATGCCAGGTTCGATCCCAGCTGCAGACCAAGCGCCTTGCGTGGTATCAAGAGAGCCGGCCGTCCAGAAAGCAATGGCAAACTACTAGACATATTGCTGCTGGGACCACAATTTGTTTTTTATCAACTGAGTGTCTATAATAAGAAAGTTCATGTTAACAAGTTTTACTGTAAATGTACATCAGCATATGTGCTATATATGTTCTTATTTTAGAATTTTGCCAGCACAGTACCATAAGGTCTACTTTTTACAATTTATAACTTCTGAGAGCATTATGTACAAGACAATTCTAATTTCTGAGAGGATTAACAACAATCAATACTAGATCTTGAATATGTTTCTCCCATGTGGGTTCCGGGGCTCCATTGTATGGAAAACAAGAATAGACCCACTGCCTACCCAAAAGCATGTCGTAAGAGTCGACTAATTGGGAGCTTCCTTCAAAGTCGGAGTGCATCTGCCTGTGAGGCAAGAAACCAACAGCCTGCACACAAATATGTCAGATCTGTCAAACGGACGCATGTGCAATACTCAGGTTCTGGAAAAGGCCTGCAGTCCAGAAGCGGATGAACAACCAGAACTTTTCACTAAGTTTACAGCTGGTAGGCACGCAAAGAAGAAGGAGAAGAAGATGTGTTTAAAAAAAATGTAATTCACTTCCTATTGTTGGCATTTTATTCATGCTCTATAATGTAAAGAGTGTATTTTGCATGTCCTGTGCATCTGTATAAAAAGACTGCTTCTTCTTCTGCATTTCCACTTAGAAGGACAGTTGGCATATTCTCTTGTGGTTTACAGCAAAGCTGCGATCTATCAGCCATTTCGACCCAACACATCCAACTTCAAGAAACCCTCATTTAGTCACCTTTTATGACATGTTTGTTTGTTGGACTAGGTCTCTTCCCCAGCCCCCTCTTGAAATGGGACCCTGGAACCCATACAGGACTTCTTAAAGTCCATGTTGTGTGGCGTTGGTAGTCATGTCTACCCACAACCTTCTGTCTCGTGTACTTTCAATTAACTCTGACACAGATGATTTTTCATGCTGTTATGTCAAAATGTCCTAACCAGCATCTTTTCACTCAGTCTCCCTCTGCCTATCCAGCCCTCCACATTCCCTACTGTCATGATGTACTCCAGTTTTCTCCTTCTCATCACATGACCAAAGACTACAGGACTACTGCATGCTTTTTCCAAAGAACTAACTGTTACCACATCATTCCAAATCCAAAGTCAGACTTTCTGATATCTAACAGCCATCCAGGTACAAACCCCATTGAACAGTTCATGCCTTACCTGTAAAGCCATGAAGACATTGTGTGTTGCCTTGAGGCTGTGCTGTAAGCTCTTCACATGGCCCAGCGCATGAACCTGCAACAGAGCATGGAAGATACTAACTGCTGTGAAAATACAGGAACACATAAAAAACAAAAAAGAAAGTCTCTTTGTTTTCTTTCTGGGTTTAAACCAGCCTCAAAAAGACTAACCAAGATAACAAATGCCTGAAGAAGCTGGATGTGTTAAGCCAAAATGCACAAATATTGCAGCCATGTACAATTACAACCTCAGATGAGTGATGAAGAAGAGAAGGAAGAAGAAGAGGAGGAAGAAGAAGAAAAAAAAGAGTTAATTCAGCCTTTTTCTGAAACAACAGTGGTAGGTTGATCAATTTCTTTCTCAGCTAGTGTGAAAACATCATTTTAAAATCATCTAAAAAAAAATAAAAATCGGCCTTTTCTCCCCTGGACTGAATCAGGAAATACCCTTAAGATAAGTTCAAAACAAAAAGAGAACAAAAAAAACAATTGATTGTGAGGCCTGTTTTACTAACTGTCATGGGCAGACAGTCCATGCGTATGTGTGTATGAATAAATAGAGGTCAAAGTGACAAGTGGAGCAGCACATAAGCCTGGACATGAGTTGTCGAACACCCACTGGACAGACAACAGTACAATACATAAGTATGATGCTTGACGGGCGAATACAGAACTCTGGAAAAGTGAAAAAATCAAGTGAGCAAGACATTCGAACAAGGACATCAAATTTAAAGGTGAAAAAAGACTTATATTTGCTGGCTGGTGTTGACTAATTGGGAGCTTTCTTCAAAGCTGGAGTACATCTGCCTGAGAGGCAAGGAACCAACAGTCTGCATGCAAAAGAGTAAGATATGAGAAACAGATGTGCATGCAACACTCAGTTTAGGGAAAAGGACTAGAGTCTAGAAGTGGACAAATAACCAGAACCCTCTGCCAAAGTTTACAGCTGGTGAAAGCAAAGAAGTAAGAAGAAGAAGAATAGTTTTAGAATCACTGTTTTACAGCATAACATTTCCTTACCAGTCTGATCAGACTTGACAGAGAAGCCTAGAATTAACATCACACTTTACAGACCTTAGTGAAAACGAGTTTATGTCACTCACCTGCGTGTAGCGGTTAAGAGTCTCCAGAAACTGATTGACATTGCCACTCATACTACACAGCTCGTCTAAAAACCAGTCACCGTCTCTTGAGGTCAGGTCCATCAGGCGATCTCCAGCTCCTGAGCACAGAAAAAAATGTAGTGTTAAACATCTGGCCTTGAGATGCCACTAATCTGGCATCACCGTCCATTACACATCCATTTAAAGATGTTAAATTGACATTAATCCTTGACAAGCCTAGTTAATAGCATTGGTTCTGTTTGCATCTGCACATTCTCCAACACCAATATAGTCCATACTGAGTTGATGGTAACAACTCATTTGAGAAGAGAAGAGGCTTTTGTCCAGTGATATTTGAGCCCTTTTCAATTTGTTTGATTCTTCATAACAAATAATGGTTTGCTGTATGAAAACTGAACATACATGAAAGACAAAAGAGTTACCGAAGAGAATGAATACTGACCTGCAGCAGCTCCTTCCATGAGTAGATATCGTTTGTTGAGTGTGTACAGAGCGGACACTATCACAGACATCAGACTCTTCTCTCCCTCGAGGCCGTTTTCTGAAATAAAAATTAACCAAAACCTTGTAAGGACAAAAATAACCTCTTCTTCTTAGTGCTTACTGACTGTAAACTCTGGCAACAATTTCTAGCTGTTCGTCCACTTCTAAAATGGGGTCTTTCTCCAGCACTTGAGCGTTGTGTGCACTGCTGTTCTACAGATCTGCCTGTCTGTGTGTGTCTCCTCTCAGGCAAGTGCAGTCTGGCCTGAGAGGAAAACATTGATCCTATCTATACTGGCCAGTATCCTGACTGGTGAACGTAAAGGACCTGTTCCACGCCTTATAGGGCATATAGGGCTAGACCTATATTTGTATAGACCAATCGGCACAAGATGGGTGATGTGGTCAGCATCATCCTGACTGGATGATGGGGTTTAAAAGATGACTCAGGAGAGGAACAGATCAGTCCTGTCCATATCAGCCTAACAAAACATGTCAATCAATAAGCTGTGAAGTTAGCCGCACATCCTTTATAGGACTTTGCAGAACCAACACATTTTTTTTTTAACTAGCCAACTTTACATCAGTAGTTTGCCACTGCTTTCTGAATGGTCAGCTCTGGATACCACTGCCAAAACCAACGCAAGACAGTCTGCTACCAAATCACCGAATTATGAACAAAAGGATGACTCCTACCATAGACAAAGAGTTTAATGGCCTCATCAGCTTCGTGGACTTGTACTTCCAGCATCATGGTCTCATTTGTCTCCTGGGCACGCCTGTCTATCAACTGAAGACAAAGGCAAGATTATCTATTATATTATGAACAAAATAACAATCCAAATGAGAAATACAACTAGCTAATTTTCATTATTTCAGTCTAAATGACGATATGAACCATGCAGATAAAAAGCTTTCATCAGCACAGACAGGAAACAAGAAAACATCAAATCATTGATCCTACAGTGAGGAGGTATGCAACAAAATCTATCCTGGCCCTTGCAGGAGTGACCCAGAGAGGGGACTGGTGGGTAGGAATGGGGTTATGACAGGGGATGTAACTTCAAACAAAAACCTATTATAGACTGTGTGATTAGACTTTTGGTGTTTATGTTATCTACCACTTTCAGGGCTGTGTAGGGCATGGGGTGCATGAGCCTCAGGATTTAGGGTCACATGGCTACTGCAGTCGCAAGACCTGTACAGTTTAGGATTTTCATTTCTGCCACTTACAGAACAACCCACACCCCCTGAGCGAGACCAGAAATCCAGGTCTTCCGCAAGACAGCCAAGAGATATAACCATTCGGCCAGTTCTCGTCTCTCATGACATGAGCAAAAAATGTGAAAAAAAAAGAAGGTAACAGAAAATAAAGTCAAATTACTAAATGTAAAAAAAAAGGCCCACTAAAATCAAGACAATAAATGCTGTAGAGGGTCTCCTTGACTTACAACTCAGTTCTGTTCTGACTGTCAATTCGTGAGTCAAACTGATGTAAAGTTAAATTTATATTTTTCAACACTATTTTAATTCAAACGAGGTACAAAAATTTGCAAACAAAAACAAACTCAATCTATGCATGTATAATTATTCTACACAGGCATTTAAAAGTACATTCTAATCATCAGTTCTGGGAACTTTTTGACTCTACCAATGTATTTATCTTTCTTTATTTACCATTTGTATTTATGTATTTGTGTGGTCTGAAGTGTGGATGGTCTGAAGTCACACAGGTTACAAGTTGAGGAGCAGATGTAGTTTGTGATGTCCTGAGAAGGTAATGGTTCCAAATTATAGTTTTAACAGAGACATTTTTCTTCTGCACTTGCCCGGAGAAAGGTGGCTGGCATGTTGTAACGTGTTGTGGCTGATAAAAAGGCTGCGTGCGATACTGCATCCTTCAGACCAAAACATCAAATTTCTGGAATCGCCTCAATAGTTTCCTTTTACGATATGCTTGCTGGGGGCAGTGGGTTTATTTTCTCCCCCCCCCCCACACCAAAATGTGGGCCTCAGAACTCACAGGCGGTAAAGAGACAAGGAAGGTGAGGCTTCAGTGAACATAAGCATGGGGCTGGAATACAAGCCAGTTGATGGTACCACAAAAAAGCAATAACTACAGAATACGTTCAGGCACCTAAATGGGAAACAAATGGATTAACGAAATGAGGATGTTCAAGAGAAATACCAAAGCTAACACGGATAAGAGAGGCCACAGATGCTAAACTGGATTTCATCCATGAAATCAAAAGGATTGCAGAGAGAGGCCACAGATGCTAAACTGGATTTCATCCATGATATCAAAAGGATTGCACCGGATAGAACATAATGGAGGAATAGACTGTAAGCCCTCTATGACATATAGCACAACCGGATGATGATGATGATATAACATAAGGTCAACTTGAAGGGAAAAACGCCAACTGTAGATGTGTTTTGGACAAAATGGAAGTTACAGATATTTTCTGATAGGTGGTGGAGACCAGTGTCATGAAAACCATCTTACCTTTAACCCCGTATGTGTTCCAGAGAAAAAAGAATAGACTGTACCCCCCAAGCATGCCGTTCGGGAACAAGATAAACGTCCAAAAGGAAATGAACAACCACAAAAAAAAACCATCTTACCTTCAACAATTTTGAGTTGCTGTCATTCAAGAGGTTCAACAGCTTGGCCTCCACACCAAACACAAACTGGGCCTTGGTCAGCTGGGAGGACTGTGTCAGACTGTACATGTCATGGTAGCGGGTTATCACTTCTTCACACCTGGTGACCACAGCAAACACAAACATACTGTTTCATATCCCTGATATCTTACATGACAATCTGATGACAGCAAACACACTGTCTCCTGACACTGTTATCTAACAAGACACTTAATGACAACAATCACAAACACACTGAGATCATTGACATCTAACATGACATCCAAGGACAGCAAATACAATTATGCTGTCTCATGTCACTGACATCTTACATGACATCTGATGACAGCAAATACACACACCCACCACCTTATACCAGAGAAACTGTTTAGGCATCATCATCACCAAGTGCCATGAATCCCACGAGTGGGTGGGGGAGGGACAATGCATATAATATGATGTCCTCTGACTAAGAATCTATGACGGGTGTCTCCACATTAATTTAGTCTCCATAAAGAGAAATTTTTTATAGCAATTTTTCAGCACAATTTCTCCAGTGTTCCACTGTAATAAATAGGTGCCCTTGATGTCTCAGCAGCAGTTAAATTAGGTTGATTCTTAAAGGCAGAGAACTTGGTACTCTTGACAGACTGCACATTCCTTGCATGATTCTACTTTCTTTCATCAGAATAGTGCTCTTTATGGTGTAATGTTGGTTTAATGGGGATTCAAACTTGTTACCATTTGGTTAACAGGCACGGGTGCTAGCCACTGTAATACTGCACACCCTCCCTCCCCCCCCCCCATTTTTTCCAGAACATCTAACTATTTAAAAAAAAAAAAAACCTAATGCCAGCTAAGTTCCAACATTAACAAAACACATAAGGTGGTGCAGTGATATCGATCACAGGCGTGAAAGAAAGTTAAGGCCTTTGTGATGTGTATAAGGAGTTACTCCGCAAATCACCTTGGGCACCAGCCGGCTTTGGGATGGTTTTACGGATCCTAGATCAGCAACATCTCTTACGGGCATTAACCTCGCAGAAAAATATTGTCTCCATACACCCCTTGCTGTTCCTCAACATCACTTACACCGCATTAAGACACACAACGACAATCTGTCAGTGTACTGGTCTGACACAAATGTCCGACTGATACAAGACCTACTGCACAGAAACAAAGTACTGAACGTCCAACCGAAAAAAAAAAAAAAAGTCCTACTAATTAGCAGAAAGGTGCAAATGCCTGTTACCACTGGCCCCACTCACTGGAGTGTGGGACCTAAAAGGGGCAGCCATGCCTGACGCATGCTTTTGTTGTACTGTCTGGCTAAGTTTCCAGATGAACCTGTTTACATGCAGATGCCCTGGACGGGGTCTCCAGGGGACAAAAAGAACACCACACAAACAAGGCCCCAACATGTCCCTGTCCCACGAAACTATCCAGGAAGTTAACCCGGCCAGCAATCGCTTAATGAAGTTGGATATGTCGGCCGAAATGGGCAAATATCGCAGCTCAGATGTAAACAGGCACATTGCATTTACGTCGCTCGGATAAAGGAAATGACGAAGAAGAAACACATACTTCTGCGAGGTGAAGTCATTCAGCAACTCTTGCAACCAGCCGTGGAATCTGAAAGTCCTGTTGTCTTCAGCAAACACCACACCAAACTGCAAACATAAAAAAAAAGGAACATTACCTTAGTTGCACAAATGTAAATATATCACACCACTACTAACTTTCTCCTCTCTTTTTAAATCTTTTATTGAGTCAGGTTCTGTAAGTATGTTTCTCTGGGCATAACTTTGCAGTAGATGTTTCTGTTTTTCTGTACCTCTCTCAGCATCAGTACAAGAGAATTCAGAAATGAACAACAGTTGAATATCTCATAGACCACTGAGTTTGTTGTCTCTGCTTTATCTTCTTTCTTCGTCCTGTTGCTTGTGCCGTAAAGCATAACAGAAAGGAGTTGTTTAGTTTCTTCTAGTAGCGTAGTAATGTCATACTGCATTTCTGTAGTCTCTTTTGTAGTGTCTCTGCTTAGTCACTTATCCAGTCTTATGATGGGACAGCTTTGCTTTTATTTTCTTCTTCAATGAAGCCAAGTGACCTGGAGGTCTTTGGTTCAAATCTGCATCAAATCAAATTTCTTTCAAATATGGCCTTACTTCCCAGGTCGACCCTGCCTAGAATGTAAGTAAGCAAAGGATACTTTTCCATGCACTTAGGGCTAAACCTATATTTTATAAACCAATCAGCACTCAATAGGTTATGTCATCAGTATCATATTGGCCACCTTTGCTTTCCAGGATTTACCTGCCTGGGATGTCAAGGCGGCTAGCATGATGTTGACTACATTACCCATTGAGAGCTGATTGGGCATTTTTAATAAAGAGTATTGCCAGATGGAAGCTATGATATATAGTTAAACAAATTGTGTGACTCGTCTCCCTTTCTAATGTAAATTTAACACAGGTTTATCAACATTTTTTTGTAAAAATCCTGCCTCAAACTACCAAGATAACCACAATTCACAGGTATCCCTCTACTGCTGCTACAGGTCAGACATGACCAAGGCATTGACCACAGTCTACTAGTTGACTGGCAAGACGTGAGAGCTAGCCCACAGTTGTCTGGCTCTCACTGTCTGCACATAAAATTATAACTGCTGTTTTTATTCCCTCTATCGACACTAAAAAGTCGACCAGCAATGATTTCTGAAATTAAAAGTAGCCCCTAAAAAATAAAAAGCTGGCCAGTTTGACTTTAAATTATCTTTTGCTGATCGTTTAACCTTGTCACCTTAAATCTGTTACTTCTGGTTGTGAAAAGATGTATCAGTAGTGACTAGTTCTTGAAAATTATACTTGAATTCCTTGGTTCTATGTGCTTCTCAACAGTATTTAGACGGCCTGGATGTAAACATATTAACTAAAAATAGCACAGGGGTTTCCTTGTGAAAAACCATGGTGATATCACATTTTCCAGCAGCCTCAGTGACAGAAATCAAGGCAGGAGTCACCTGATAAATATTTGTTTCAGGCCCCAGAAATGTCTTCCCTTTAATGCTTCACTGTGTTTATGTTTACTGACTCTGACTACTCCCTTTAAATATGTTTATAAATTTAGAAGAAAATTCTAGTTGTGTTATGCTGTATTTAGCTCTTTTTAAACTTTTGTCAAAATCAACGCACGGAGGTCTGTTGCCAATTCTCCTGCAGCTGGAACAGAACCGGATACTTCAAAATTAAGAAGCATGTTTACAACTCTAATTCCGACCTTCAGCTTAAATAATATAAAAAATTAAGTTTCTTTTTCTTTTTTCTTCATCCTCCTGGAGAGTACAGGCCCTTAACCAAGCCGACCTATCCTTTGATACTGATCCTATCTTTTTCCCTTCACTCTCGAGTTCCCTTGTCCGTATGTTTTTGGTCTGCCTTTACTTCTATGCTGATGTGGGTTGAGGTTTTGGTTATACTTTTCTCAGGTTTTCTTAACATCTGTCCTATCCAATGGCAGCATCTTTTCCTCACCTCTTTCCCGATTCACTGGAATTTGTTTAGTTCTCTGCTAAAGCTCCAGATTAGTGAAAATTTAGGTCAGAATGAGGAAAATGTACATTAACTAGAGATTGGGCAGAGCTTACCTGTGACACTATGGTGCTGTATGTGTGTAAGACATTGACGGCACTGTGAAGCATGACTCTTCTCTGCTCCAGCAGCGAACACACCTCACTCTCCAACTGCTCACACTGTGGGTATAACAACATTACATTACTGAGCCCCTCTTGCTTAACAATAAAATCTAAGGCGATAAATAACTGCTTCTTCTTAGCGTCTGCAAACTCAGGTGGACAGTTCTGGTTGTTTGTCCACTTATGGATTTAGGTCTTGTTTCAGAACCTGAGTTTTGCGTGAACCTTTGTTTTAAAGATCTGGCTTATTTTTATGCAGACTGTTGGTTCCCTGCCTTTCAGGCAGAAGCACCCCTAATTATTAGACTTTCAACACATGCTCGTTGGGGTGCCCAATGAACAAAAATGGCTTTATTATAATAATTTAAATTCTGGCATCACATTGTTCCCACTGTCCACAGCGGTGACTGTGCGACTGGTTTAGAGGATCACACAGACATAAGCTAGTGATTCTATGTGGTATAAGTGATTAGTCTCCTTATGCTTATGGTATTTTTGTGTGTGACCAACCATAAATGATTTTGTGCACTTTATTTTTTTTTAGGGGGGGGGGGGGGGGGGAGGGAGAGAGAGGGGGGACAAAAAAAAGCGAGAGAGAGAGAGAGGGAGAGAGAGAGAGAGAGAGAGGGAGAGAGGAGAGGGGAGGGGGGGAGGGAGGGAGAGAAGAGGGAGAGGGGGAGAGAGAGAGAGGAGAGAGAGAGAGAGAGGAGGGAGAGAGAGAGAGAGAGAGAGAGAGAGAGAGTATTCCTGAAATATGGAAATCAGAGGCTCTAGGTTTTTTAAGGTCACCAGGGTGAAAGGGTTTTGTAGCTGAAGTTCACAATTAAAAAAAAAAGTGAAAACAGGGCAGTAAAAGCAGTTAGCCAATGTCTATGCATTAGCCGCCACTGATTTACAGTGAACTGTAATATTTTTTTTGAGGCTTCATTATTCAAATCCCACCTGTGAGATAATCTGTGACTGGCCAGCTCCCTGCAGAAATGATGACGAAGCAGCAAAACTTGGGGGTCCTAACTCCAGATTAGCCATCACTTCAGCACACAGGGACTGAAAGGATGAGCTCTGAAGCTTCTCTAGTGTCATCTGTAGCATAGGAAAAAGGAAACTTGCAAATGAACACATTCTAGAACATACTCTGTGGCTTTATGTTCTATAAAATTCTATGCTACACAGCTCTACACATATATTCTAGAACTGCTATTTTATCTTCTATAACTATATGCTTCACAATTATACACATATACTTTATAAACATATTATGCACTATTAGCATAAAGATTCTGAGGATGACGTAGCCTAAAATGGGTACCAGGTAATGACGTGGAAGCAAAGGTGCCGGCACAGGTGCTGACAGCGCATCATCCGTTTAGAGCCAACTGGTCTCTGTAACATGATATGCTTGATGCACCATAGGCATAAGCAGGGTCTTTAAAATGACTATAAGCTCTACAGTTACATAAGCGATATGTTTAGGGTCTTTGTGGCAAAGTGGTCACGCCATCTCTCTTTAAGGTTTTCAACAACGGATCAACATCATGGCACACGGGTGTAACCCATAAGTGCTTTGTTCTTCTTTTAACTCAAGTTTGAGTCCACAGAAGGTCAGCACAGTGCACAGGCTCTGTAGCATCGGCGAGGATCCTGAAATACTTTCGGTAGATTTTAACTTAAAATTTTGACCGGGCAGCGCTGTTAGGCTACTCTTTTCAATTTCCAACTGCCAAGGGATTTTTTACGTGCGCAACAATGCACACGGGCGTCCGATCTTACTTCCCAGAGACCAGGGGGAATTACTAGAAGTCCAAGTCCACGTGAAAAATCCCAGCCCTTACCGGGGATTGAACCCGGAACCTCTAGCACTCCAGAGGGATACTGTGCTTCGAGACTACGCAGCCATATGTCTCAAACTGTGAAAGTCGTGGGTTCGTTTCACCACTACGTCATCCAGTTCATGAGCGAACTCTGTAGAGAGATTCCTGTGGATCGTCGCAACAGCTACACTCGGAGCTATTACAAACTGAAGAGTTACATGTCACACACAGATATGCTGCATGGCAATGACAAGTGTCATGGTAAACAAGAGAGGATGCCAGGGTGAGTTGAGATGAGTCCAGAATTGACATCACAACACTTGGGTCATTCCCATTTGTGCTCTGCCCTCATCTCCAGCAGCTAGCGCAGAGTTCCAACACTGATGGTACTGGCCATAGTCTGGTTATACGTCTGTCTTGCCTTTCCTCTTGAGTGTAGCCAGTCGGCCAGAAATTCTGGTCCCACCCAGGTGCATCACTCTCTCTAGGCCATAATAATCCAGTGTCTCTTCTGACTTCAGTATTTGTTCCCAAAGAACCTTAACCACATCTGCCTTGTCATATATCAATTTACCACCCAGTGGTTTGGATCCAGCAAATCTTTCTGCCTGTTCATTCCCCACCACACCAGCATCACCTGGAGAAAATTATCTAAAGTATTACCCGTGACTTACCAAGTGAAGCTTGCCACTCTGTTCAAAACAACCTAGTCTTCACTTTTCCCAGCATGCTTTCAGAGTCTACAATTACGACACGTGTATGCATCTTCTCAAGATACTAAGACGAGGTGATTCTCATCTCCATAATGTTCACAGTGGCTGGTGAAGAAAAGCTTGCCAAGGATCACACACCTGGTGTGCGTAGAGACCAACAGCCACGGCCAATCCCTACCATGATAATAGATATTCAGTACCCAAGTCTTGCACTTCCGCCTATATCGAAATGAATGTACTGCTTAGATGCAGAATAGGATTTTTAAAAAAATACTCCCGTTCCATAAATTATTATTCTTATGTACAGTGACAGACACTGTTGTTTAGCGCCTAGACACTTGCCTGCCAATCCAAAGGTGTGGGCTCAGGTCGAAACCACATTACCCACAGAACCCGCTGGCTTATAAAATACAGGTCTAGCCTTTTGCAGCCTGAAGGTGCGGAAAAGGCTATTTTTGCTTATGTACAATGACCAATATTTCCTAAGGTACTAATCATTAATTATCATTACAGTGATGCATCACCAGCTGCTACTAAGTGACTGATCAGTTCTCTCCATCTCTGTCAGAACGCAATGGACTGATGTCTGCCTGTTTGAGGTCGGTGCATTCAGTCAAATTATGTATCTAGGTCTTTCTTGGTTCGACTCTACTTCTCTTCCCCTCTATCAAGCCCTGCAGTATCATTCTGGACAGGCTGGTAGATGTTTCACATCTATAGCTTTTGGATTTTCCGTATTTTCACGGTTTCTAAAGTATTAACACTAGAAAACTTCCAAGAAGAATCAAATTACTAATTGTAAACGCTTTGTATCAACTTACAACATGAATCTTGTGCCAGTTACTAAACTCTGCAATCTTCTCCCTCACAGAACCCATCACCTTGTCACGGGTACCTTTGAGTATCATGTAATCTGAGTATCTGTAGGAATGAATCGAAATGATTAACAGACATCAGTGGGCACTGGCACAGTTAATATATGATATCTACAGACATTCAATAACATAAGGGACAGGTCCAAAATACCAGCTCCCTGTGTGGGTTCCGGGGTCCCATTGTGGGGGGAAAACGAGAATGGACCCACTGCTTTCCCAAAAAGCATGTTGTGGAGTTGACTAATTGGTGGCATCCTTCAAAGTTGGAGTACATCCGCCTGAGAGGCGAGGAACCAAGAGTCTGCATATTAATAATCCAGATGTGTAAAACAGATGTGCATGCAAAACTCAAGTTCTAGAATAAGACTAAAATCTAGAGATGAATGAGCAACCAGAACTTTCCACTGGAGTTTACAGCCAGCGAATGCTAAAAGGAAAAATAAAAATACCAGTATTAAAGAGAAGGTTTAAACAAGGTTGTGCCTGCATTACACTTGAAAGACAGTATGAAGTAATTTATTTTTGCTATGTTAAGACATACGTTTTGATTTTCACTATTTCTTTGGGTTGAGATTTTTAAGTTTTCTATACCAGTCTGTGATGTGGATAATAATACCGTATAATCGGCACATCGGAGACAGATACAGGAACATTATCAATACTGGCTGTCTATGGACACTGGCAAGGCGAACCATTACAAGTGCCTACAATGAGTTCATGAAGAGCCCTCATTTTCTTTCCAATCTTCTCACTCATTTCATCTGTTACATTAATTCTTTTCAATATACTTCTGAATGCAATTATGGAGCTCTGCCTTTTGTCATTTTAGCAGCAAAGACAAATGTTTGTTATCATGCTGGATGCAACACAACACATACCAGCTTCAATCTTCTTTCTCAACTGTTTTGCAATTTTCAACAAATCAGTGAATTTTTCCCATAGGCCTTCTCAAACTAAATCTAAATATGTACAAATCTAACCTGTCTGAAAGAGTCTAGACTGAGCTCAGATTTCATCTCAATATCTACAGATCTAACCTGTCTGAAAGAGTCTAGACTGAGCTCAGATTTCATCTCAATATCTACAGATCTAACCTGTCTGAAAGAGTAGACTGAGCTCAGATTTCATCTCAATATCTACAGATCTAACCTGTCTGAAAGAGTGTAGACTGAGCTCAGACTTAGTCTCTAACCTGTCTGAAAGAGTTTAGACTGAGCGCAGACTTAGTCTAAATATCTACAGATCTAACCTGTCTGAAAGAGTGTAGACTGAGCTCAGACTTAGTCTAAATATCTACAGATCTAACCTGTCTGAAAGAGTGTAGACTGAGCTCAGACTTAGTCTAAATATCTACAGATCTAACCTGTCTGAAAGAGTGTAGACTGAGCTCAGACTTAGTCTAAATATCTACAGATCTAACCTGTCTGAAAGAGTGTAGACTGAGCTCAAACTTAGTCTAAATATCTACAGATCTAACCTGTCTGAAAGAGTGTAGACTGAGCTCAGACTTAGTCTAAATATCTACAGATCTAACCTGCCTGAAAGAGTGTAGACTGAGCTCAGACTTAGTCTAAATATCTACAGATCTAACCTGAAAGAGTGTAGACTGATCTCAGACTTAGTCTAAATATCTACAGATCTAACCTGTCTGAAAGAGTTTAGACTGAGCTCAGACTTAGTCTAAATATCTACAGATCTAACCTGCCTGAAAGAGTTTAGACTGAGCGCAGACTTAGTCTAAATATCTACAGATCTAACCTGTCTGAAAGAGTCTAGACTGAGCGCAGACTTAGTCTAAATATCTACAGAACTAACCTGTCTGAAAGGGTGTAGACTGAATGATGCGGGCCACTCTGGGCATCAACCAATGCCTGCTGGACCGCATGCAGCTCTTCCATTGCTGCAGAAGATGCTTCCAGTTTATCAGATGTATTCATCCACTCCCTTACTGCCACTGCCAGGATTGGCAAACTTGTCTTTAGTTCTGACCTGTCAATTTACAAATGAATGGAAGTGTTATTTTGTTATTCTGTAATCACACCAAAATTTGTTTTATATTTAACTTTCTGTGGGCGTTTTTTTCTTCCCCGGGAGTAACCGATTAATGTGGATTGAAGTATTTATTTCAAAAAAATTGTAGATTTCTAAACTTTTTATACTGGTGGCGCAATTGTTAGATAAACATAATGTCACGACTCAGCAATTCAGTCTACTAGCTATCTAGAGTTTAAACAAACCTCTTATAAGAGATATAGCAATAATATTAATAATAATAATGATGAAATAATTGATACTGTCTTGAAACCTTTCATTTATATTAGGCCTTGTATACCGATGTTTATTCTGTTTAACGCTTCATGTTTGTTGCGAGACACTGCAGCTGACACACTGATGTGTCACAACATACAGTTTAGAAAGCTCTGAGATAAGGCGCTATTGATTACTGCATATGGGAGCTTGTCGGTTACATACACAGTGAATAATCTCTCTGTGTGTGGAGGTATGTTAATTACATAAGCAGCAACAGGTATTATGGATCAAGGCGTTTCTTCTGATGGCCACATGGCCGGAATTTCTCTTTTTTTTCTAAATCTTTTCCTCCACACAACCGTAACAGACACTTTGTACTGCATGCCGACACCTTTTTATCTTTTCCTCCACACAACCGTAACAGACACTTTGTACTGCATGCCGACACCTTTTTATCTTTTCCTCCACACAACCGTAACAGACACTTTGTACTGCATGCCGACAACTTTTATTAGGCACTGTGATGAGTTGTTGCATCTGTTCCAGGAATACACAGCCCTGATTCTGGTCAAATAGAAGTCAATAAAACATACAGTACATCATCAGCAGTCATTCATTTCACTGGCCAGACAGCAACGTGATGGTTATCAGAATATGTGATGGTTATCAGAATATGTGATGGTTATCAGAATATGTGATGGTTATCAGAATATGTCATATTTATCGGGAATATGTCATTTAAGTGATTTTTCTGTATTTATGTTTGTACTTAAGGTACTGTAGATCATGTAATGTGCTGTTGAAGGCTCTACAGCCGCAGTGCTCACTTGTCGTTTGTGTTTGTGATACCGTGAAGCTGACTGATTCTACTTTTGGTTTGGTTTGCGTTATCTTTTTTATGATAATGCATCGTTTGGTACCGAATTTTTTTTGTTTTAAACGTCACCAGACCACATAATCACTGACTTGTTTTTGGACCAGGCAGAATCCATCTCTGTGAGACGAATAGAAAACATGCTGTTGGTGATGTCTCTCTCCATCTGCTGCTTGGTCTGCCTGCTGTCACCTGCAATGCCTCCCCCCTGGGCCAGTTCTCCACCATAGAATGCCCCAGTGTAACCTGCATCTCCACCAGTTGTCCAGTCTACTAGAGGATCATACACAAAGGCTTCCAACAGTGTCAACAGGGACTCTCTTCCTTTACGCATAGTCTTCATGACATGTTCTGATGATATCCGGAATGTGCCCTATATGGAGAGAATTTTTACACACAGGTTAATAATCTTAAAAATAAAAAATAAAAATAAAAAAGAGATGCAATTATTAACACTGTCGGCTTGTGAATGCTAAAAAATATGGGTCATGACCACTCGAGAATTTTCCTTAAAAATCTATTTCAAAAACATTTCACACAGATCACTAATAAAGTTTTTGAACATTTATTTATCTACATTTTCAAAACCGTTTTCTAAATATATATAGAGGAAGTAATCAATAGACAAGAATACAGTGAATGCTAAAAATGAAATTCACTCTCCATGGCCTAACAAAATATATGTATCGGGTGACTCCTGCAGTGACCCCATGACCTCTATCTCTGAGGTTTACAAGAACTTTCTTATGGCGAACACAGCCAAGGGTGTTTGTAAAGTAAAGGATCCTTTTCCACACATTCAGGCATATTGGGCATATACGGCTAAACCTTTACTGTACAGACCATTCAGCTCTTGGTGAGTGATGTGGTCACAGCATCATGATGGCTGCCTTTACTTCTCAGGACTTTTACCTGGAACCCATGTACGGCTGGATCGACCTGGGAGCTAAGGTCATTTCTGAAAACAAGTCCAGCAGTTCGGATATAAACCCATGACCTTCTGATTTACAGGTGCGTGTCTAGCCGCTACAACATGGCAGATCACTAGCCAATAGTATCAACTTCTAGAAAGTCAGTTAAGTGGCTTTTTAGAGGATCTGGAGCCAAACGGCAGTGTCGATTTTGTGGCTTCTCAAAGTGAAACTGTTAAAAATCAAATCTCTTGCTATAAGTCAAAACTGTCAAGATCAAATTAATCCTTTCATAGAAATCATTCACCCAGCCCCTAGCTCGGTTGATTTAACCTGCTGCATGGTGACCGGGTGTCAATCCGTAAAACAATCTTCCTTGATGTTGATATTTTTGAGTAAAGGTAAAGTTGGGAGATTTGAACCAGCGTCACTGCACACAGTTATAAACCATAAGTGCTCAGCCACCAGTACGGACAGCTGATAAGAATTGTCCGTCTGTGTCGCCGTCCGAACGTAACTCTGTAGCTACAGTGATGTTCCTCCATTTACCCCGGAGTGTCAACTCTGATACCCATTTCCTAGAGGCTGGGTGAACCCCGGGAGCCGCCCGGTTTCAAACACCGACCGTGGGCTGCAGCGAGTCGCAGCTGGATTTGAAAACGGGCCTTTTATCGACTGCGCTAAAACGGCCCTAATTTTTGAGTATGTCCCTATTTCTGTTTTTGTGTGTGTGTGTGGGTCCATGGTATCAGCTTTTATTATAAGTCTCACGCAGTTAACAAATCATACAACCTACCTCCACTCCTGTAAGACCCAAAGCTGTTTCAATGTTTGCAGTCAAACGGAACGGGACATTCTCTGGCACCCTCAGACCTTTGCCTTTCTCAAAACAGACATTGTAGTCAATATGCACCACCTAGCCAATAACGCAAGGAAAGAAGTCACAATCAACATTCATTAAACACAAAACACTTTCAAAAACACAGCAAACAATAAAGAGCACATAAAACTCACCAAAATGTAAATAAATCTTATCATCAAGTAAACCTGACAAATTTGAAATACTATAAAGATGATACTACAAAGAAAATCTCATAAGCAAATAGCAAATTTATTACACATTATTAAAGAAATAAGAATACTTTCAAAGAATATAAGGAAAAAAAAAAACCAGCATAACAGTTGTCCAAGAAAATATATCCACATTTAATCAATCATCAAACAGGAAATGTCATAAAAAGAATATGGAATACTACAATTCTGTGGAGAGAGACTGAGCTATAAAACCCAGTGTATTCAAGTCGTCATCTTTAAACATACTAACAGACCGACTTTCTCTAACTGCCCAGGTGAAACCTAACAGAAATGTAAAGATAATCAGGTAACTGCAGTTTCAAATTCATAGCAAAATCATCACCATATAGCTGCTCTATTCCTGGGCCAAACAAAAACAACACAGAATGTCCATCACTGTAACCTTTTTTTTTATATGCCACAGACTGCAGTCTCAGCAAAGTCAGTAACATACACATGCAATGAATGCATAAGGCAGCTATCAGAAATGCCAGCACAAACATTCCAGCACTATATACCAATGCAGTTCCTCATCGGTGATGGAACTAGCAGAAGCAACAGATCACAAGCAATTTATCAAGAAAGACACCGCCACCAGTTCTCATGCAACAGGCCATTCACCATTTTAATGAAATCCAACAACATCTTACCTCTCCTGTAGCTAGGTCCACAAGGACATTATCTAAATGCCTGTCTCCCAAGCCAATTATGTAGCCAATCATGGACATGACGGCAGTTGATCTTGCATAGGACTGGGTGACTTGCCACCACTCGCCAGCACTGGAGCTGCAGCACCACATTTCCCTAGACAACCACATCAGAATAAAGCGGAGGTTAGTGCTGGTTATGAAAATAAACTAGGGATTCATGTTGGTTATAAAAATAAATTAGGCGATAATGTTTATTATTATTATTTAAATAAAAAAATTTAAGACAGACATACAATTGGACAGCTACTGCTACTACTGGAACTGAACCACTGCACTTGCTGCTGAAGATGGGGCCAGGGCACCTATGGGAATGTCCTGAGTGCGGCTTTTTTCTTCTGTCAAAACTGACCTTGGCTACCAAGTTGACGACTGCTTAAAACTGGTACCAGGTAATGTCTTAAGATGAAAAGGCAGCCGGTATCATGCTGACCACGGTACACATGGAGTGTCGATTTATCTACAGAAAAATATGAGCCCAGCATCTTATTGTTGATGTGCCACTGACATAAAAAGGACCCTTGACTTTTTACCAACCAAATCCTCAATGCCTTCTCAGCACTATAAATCCAGAATATTGCAGTTTTCCCAGTACTATGGAAGTAACCTAGTAAATAAAAGACTAATATGGTTCTTGGAGACAAACTCGGTAATCACACCAGGCAGAGAGGATACAGACAGCACAGAAACACAGAGGACCAGTTGACATATCTGACAAGACAGGATACAGACAGCACAGAAATACAGAGGACCAGTTGACATATCTGACACAGGAAGCTGAGAATGCCTTCCAGGAAAAAAAGAAAGTTCTTGCTGTCTTCTTTGACCTCTCTCGTGCTTTTGATACAGTTTTGGAAAGAAGGCCCTACAA